ACGCGAGCAGGCATGCCTCTGGCTTATTCCCCACCCACCCCCTGCACACACACACAGAAAACCTCACACACATTTGAGCAGTGTGCTTCTTGCTCTCTCAGAATGCTCTCACACATACACACATGCACAAAACAAACACATACACAGGCAGGCATGCCTCTGCCTCTCTTTCTCACTCACATACACAAAGAACACTCTGAAATCCTGCGTTTTGCCAAGACTCAAATCAGACTGACTTCATTATGTGAAGATAGATCAGAACAGAAACACTATATAGCCTGTGGAGGCTGTGAGCAACAGTTGTTTGAATGGCATGTCGCTAGGTGGTGGGCAGTGCAGTGGCATGTCTGCTGCTTTGGGACAGTGACCTCATCAGTCTGCTCTTAGATGAGCCGCTGTGGAAACCGGACGTCTACCCCTGCCCATTGTTGCCGTGGCACCTGGGCAGGGCACTGAGAGAAAAAGGCAAAAGGGAAAGGGTGGAAACTGGTGTATTTTTGGGAGCCAGAATTTTGGGGGATGCTGCGCTGCAACAGGTGATGCTTATTTACATAACCAGAGTTTCTGAGAGCTGAGGGGTGTGTGTGTGTGAGAGAGAGAGAGAGAGTGTTTGTTTGTTTGTTTGTTTGTTTTTGTACAAGTTAAGGTTAGGTTTAGGGCTAAATTCATGTATGTACACTTACATTTATAAAACACACACGGGATATGTGACTATTACCTATATTATATATGCAACATATTCTTATTATTGTGTATAGGTACTACATATATAATACATATGGGACATTTTAATATTACTTTATTACATATAGGCACATACATAAAACCTAGAAATGCATTAAGATTACAAATAGCTACTTTTATACACATAGGACATATGAGTATTATATATAAGTACTTACTTTTATGTAGGCACTTACTTATATGTAGGTATATACACATTTTACCTATGCATTATATATTCCAATGGGATATTATTATTACATAAAAGTACATTACCTATATACATGTCATTATGTATAGGTACTTACATACATACAATATATATATATGGGCTATACTATTATCACATATAGGTACTTAGATACTTACATATGTCCTCACATTGTATAAAAACTAAACTGTGTGTGTGTGTGCGTGCCTGATCAAAAGCATCCTGACTGATAGCGGTCAGATCAAAGCTCTTAGAGCTGTCAGAACGCTCTCCATCGCCACATGTGTTCTCTCTCTCTTTCTCCTCATCACTCCCTTTCCTTCTCTCTCTCTCTTTCTCATAAACACATAGCACAGTTCATGCCACTGCACGGCAGCGGCAGCAGCAGGACATGCTGTCATCTCTTCACTAAAACCCTTTCCAGTAGCCGTGCTACTGTGTGCTTGCTTGTGCTCGTCACATGTAAACCTCATGCACTTGTCCTGATTCACAACCACAAGTCCAGCAAAAACACTAACACATGCCAGTAAAGCTGCTGAGTGAAAAAACTGAACCTCTAGGCTGTCACACATACTGAAAAGGTAACGCTCTGGCTTTACTTGATTCAAACATGTAGATCATTTTCATATTAATGAAATATATGAACACAATTATTGCCAAATGTGAGTAGGTAAAACATAGTCACTGTGTTGTGATATATTTCATTAATGTAATAATGATGTACACATTTGAATCAAGCAAATTTCAGTGCTCACTCACACTCACATTCCATAACTCACATAGAGCCCCGTGTGCCGGTCTCCAAAGAAAGGGAAAGCCACAGAGATGTCAACCAATCCTGAGCCTCCATCGTCCTGCTTGATGGTCAGAGTGTCCCCCTGTTCCTGACCAAAAGGGTAGAAGTCATGCAGCGGAACGGCCAGCTCCACGCTGCCCGGCAGCCTCAGGCACAGCAGGGTGCACAGCCAGGGCAGCAGCAGCCACCCCATGACCTCCGCTGCACCGGGATGGGGGGGAAAGTTGGCGGGGCAATGGATGGATATCCCTAATGAGGGCAGTGGGACAGGACCAAATTCTCCAGCCAAAAACTGCACAGTCCACCTTCTGTCTTACTTGTCCTCTCTTAACCAGCTCTTTTCTGTCCACTCTGTCCCTTTCTGTCCAGCCTGTCCCTTTTCTTCCCTGTCTTTCCCCTGCACCTCCTCTCCTTCCCTGAGCCGCTCTTGCCTCCGTCACTCTGGGACAGCGAGGTAGATTCCTTGCATTCTGTGTGCCGCTGGGTGCTGGAGAGCGGTCGCACTGCTCACTGAAATGAACCGAGTGAGTGAAGGAGTAAAAAAGAGAGAGAGAGAGAGAGAGAGAGAGAGAGAGAGAGAGAAGCAGCAAAGAGATTCGGCTTGCTCTTTTTTTTCTTTTTTTTTTTACAAACCAGCAATTTGGTCCCTGATGGTTAGCTTAGAAATATCCTCAATAAAACCTCTATTCTGCCTGCCAAAGGAGTTCTTTCAGGACCGGCCCCCATGAACCCCCCCCACCTCCATCTACCCCCACACACACACCCCCAGGGATTCACTACCTTGCATAATTAGGTGCTCACAGCCAATTGTGGAGAGTGGGCCGGTAACTGGATAAGCAGTGGGCGGGGCTATGGTAATGAAAGGGGTGCATTAAAGAGACTCTGACAGGGCATTCGCTTTCACTCGTGCTGTGGAAAAGTGTCCCAGCTCCGCTGCCTGCCTGTCTGCCTGCCTGCGCACACACTTCAGAGCAACGCACACAGTGATACAAAGCCACACACGCAACGTCAGGAGCACGCCAATCGTGTGACGTGAACTCAGTGCCTCCTGCGTGGAACTTGCACAAGATGCCAGATCAAAGAGAGCATATACATACACAAAGTCCCTCTGGTTTGGATTACTGTAAGCTCTTTTTTTTCCCCCAATTTCCCAAGCGTATTCATCATACAGCGCATGAGATGTCTGATTTCAAAGGAGTATGAAATAGCCCTCTTTAAACAAAAGCAAAATGAGATTTGGCTGCATGGACCACAGACAGTATCAGGCAATAATCCCTATATGAAGCCTCTTATACTAAGATTCTTTTGGCAACAGACTCAGAGGGTCATAGTTTTTCACAGAGGCAAAAAAGAAAAGAAAAATCTTTTGACAAAGAGGGTTATTAGTAATACGAATCAAAATCCTGGAGCCAAACTGTCACGAGGGAACTTTTGAAGCAGTATTTAAGTTGTTTGCACACATCAAAACAAGTTAGAGTAATTATCCACGAGGCAAAGCCAACGCAAATAGAGCAACTCCTCAAACTACAAACATCAATCTGCTCATTGTTTCATCGTTATTGTGGTTTTATTGGCTTGTAAAAAATCATTTTGCAGAGTGGAGCTGAAAGGGAAAATAAAAATCAAAACAAGTCGTTTCTTCTTAATTGTTCATAAAAGATTAGGGAGCACGTCTGCAGATTAAGCACCAACAGTTGGAATTATCATGATAAACTGTCATTAGCGTCATTAAAATAATCAATCATAAAACTGATAATAAAGATCACAGCATGTGCTTTTAACAGGAAACTTGTTTAAAAGGCTTCTTGTGAATGCTGGTCTTCGATTCGGATGCCAGAAGTGATGGCAACTTTTTACATGTGAAAACAATTCGATCTCATCATCATTAGACTTGATGTAGTTACATGCAATAAAGCGATTACATAAGTGACGCACAACATGAATCTATAAAGCTGCGGAATGTGTGCGTGTGTGGTGTGTTTAGATGTGTGAGGGAGTGTGTGGGAGAAGTAAGCTGGGGGCTGCCATCCTCACATTGTGCTGATTATCGTCAGGCCAACAGGGACAGACAGAGCGGACTAACACACGCTTCAGCTGCTTGCTGAACAAATCCTTAAAACAATTTCGCGCTTGCTGAGCGTTTTGGGAAACAGTGATCTCTTTGTTTGTTGTTGTTGGGTTTTTTTTATAGAGTGGATCAAGATTACTGAAGGGATTTGTGCTCATGAAGCCCAACAGTTCTGTGAATGATTTCATGTCCTTAGCGTCAAGGTGCAGGAGTGTGTGTGTATTTGTTTTTATGCATTTTCAGTTCAAAACTGTCCTAAAGAAAAAACTGAGAAAAACAGGGGTGATATGGCACAGCAATGTCAGGGACTGCGAAATGATCTTGACTTTGCAAAGTGCTTTTGTGCAAAAGTCAGAGACCAGTCAAAATGGCTACTGAATACAAGTTATTCATTTTTCAGCATAAGGAAAAAAGCAGAAAACATCAATTACACAAAAGGCTCAGTAAGTAAATATGCAATTTTTAGTACTTAGAATGAAGCCCTGCCGGTGACATCCCATATAAATAAAAACAAAGCGTTCACAACTTAGTAAGGCATGGGAATGAGATAATTAATTTGTGGCCATGACTTAGTAACGCGTGGGAACAAGATCATGCCTTAACAAGATGTGGCCACACATTAGGATTTCATTCCCATGCCTTACTAAGTCGTGGACACACATTAGGATCTCATTCCCATGCCTTACTAAGTGATGGCCATGCATTATTTTTATTTGGGGCCCATCCTTTCATTTTATTACAGCTTCCATTCTTTTCGGGAGGCTTGCTTTCAGTTTTTCAAAGAAATCTGCAGTGATTTTTTCCACACCTCCAAGTTCATTTTTAGAGGTTGGTTGCATTTTCTGATGATCCAAGTAATACCTAGGGAGGATGGACAGAAACACCTGGGTATATTTTAGATCTGAGGCAAGAGTGGAGACTGAATATCTTCTGCCTCTCAAAGATGAAAGCTTTAAGTACTGTTTATCTGATGGTTTTGGTGGTCTACCAGGTCTTGCACTGTTATTAGCAGTCCCATTTTCTTTGTATTCTTTTTTTTATAATATTTTGAACTTCAGTTTGAAAACTATTTTTCAAGTATTTCCCCTTCCTCATGCAAGTAGATTATATTATATCTAATCTCCTCAGAAATATCTCCTGAAAAATGAACAAATTCTATTTATTGTCCATTTTGACTGGAAATGAAATGAATGAGGAGCGGTCTCTGTCTTTTGCACAGCACTGTACATATTGCATATTTTAAAACTGAAAGGGCAAAATAATTTCTTTTTGGTTACCGAAGTTAAGGTTGGGTTTCCATTAAGGGTTGGAATTAGAAAATTCTAATTATATGTAGGTAGTTAAATATATACTACACATATAAGGCACATGTATGACATCATGTCCTGATAAGATATAAAAACAAACCTCTGTGTGTGTGTGTGTGTGTGTGTGTGTGTGAGTGTGTATGTGTGTGTGTGTGTGTGTATGTATGTTAAAAACTGCTTATTGTGCAGAAGTCCATCTGAATGGCCACTGTGAGCTGTGCTGGCCTGGCTCCAGGGGTGAACAGCAGTGGGAGTGTGTGCTGACACTCAGGGGCTTTGCTCTGTTCCCCCTGTCCCAGGACTTGGGGTCAGCCACAGCTGGCCAGATCGCAGGGATGCTCAGAGCCCAGGCTTCAGCATCTGGTTCATGTACGTCTGCCTCCGCCGCATCTCCTGCTCCAGCTGCTCTTTCAGTGTACACACCTGACACACACAGACACACAGCAAAGCAGACGTTTACCTGATTTATAACCACCTCCATAAAGACCGAAAACTTCCATTACCTACTCTCATCTCTACATACCTAACAAGTAGTTTCACATAGTTACTGGACAATAAGCTGTTGGATTAATAACTGAGTAATACAGCTAGAGTTTAAGGGATTAACTCGTCAGCTAATTGGAAAGCTCACTGTTAGTTCTTTTGGGTGTGTAAAAGTAGGATAAACAAAAAAACTTGTGCGGTGGGCTTAAGTTTGACACCCTGTTAGAGCCTTATTAAAAACATATTCATACATTTACCATCTACTGTATTAAAAACACGCACTGTGCACTTTGTAAGGTCCATTTACCTTCTGGGTCCACTGCATACAGTACTGTGCAAAAGTCAGAGACCACCCTTTTACTTTCATTTAATTTACAGTCAAAATGGCCATTCAGTACAAGTTATTCTTTTTCTCAGAAATTATAGTTGACAAAAAATGACACCAAAGCCTCAACAACTAAATGTAATATGCAACCTTTAATATTTAGTTTATTACAACTTCCATTCTTTTCAGGAGACCTGCATTGAGTTTTTCAGGGGTTGTTTTTCCACACCTCCAAAGTTCCATCTTAGAAGTTAGTTGCATTTTCTGCTTCTTACGATCGAAGTAAACCCAAACACATTCAAAGATATTGAGGTCTGGACTCTGGGGTGGTCAGTCCATTGCTCTGAGAACACCAGCAGCTTCTTTGTTTGATTTGCAAACATTTGATTTTCTCAGTAACTTCTCAGTAGCTTCTTGACAGCTACACATCATTTCAGACTCATAGCGTTGAGTTGTCTTCTCACCGTGGAAGGATGGATAAAAAACACCTGTGGATTTTTTCAGACTTTCTTCTCTTCTCAAAGATGAAAGCTTTAAGTGCTGTTTATCTGATGGTGACAGTTTTGGTGGTCTACCAGGTCTTACATGGTTGTTAGGAGTCCCATTTTCTTTGTATCTTTTAATCTCTTTTTGGACTCTAGTTTTGGAAAAAAAAATTGTTTTTCCACTTATTTTACTTGTCTTTCCCCTTCCTTAGCAAGTGAATTATGTTACATCTAATCTTCTCAGAAAGATTTATTGAAAAATTAACTAATAATGGCCATTTTGACTGGAAATTAAATAAATGAAGGGTGGCCTTTGCCTTTTGCACAGACTGTAGCCTCTATCTCTACAGACTGTAACCTCTGTGTCAGTCAGCTACCATCTACTCTGTTTGACCACAAAGCCTGCTGTCCAGATATTATTTGAGTTGAGCATCGTTCTCAGCAGTGACACTGCTAGGTTGAGAGTGGTCCACCACCCACATTATACAGCCAAAAGCAGGTTTGTGGTCTGAAACTGACCACTGATGAAGGGCTTGAGGATGGCTAACACATATTACAGGTCAACAGATGTGGTGTAGTCTCTGTATACTAACAGAGTGGAGCTACAAGGTAGAAGTTTCTAATAAAGCACTAGTGTAACACATTAGCGGTATCACAATTCAGTCAGCTGTGCAAACCTTTCTACAGTGGCAGCTACAAGGACCACCTCACAGCAGAGTATAGGTACTCCATGACTATAGTGGAAACCACTACGCTAAAGGCTATTATTGACAGTGCCTCGCTTAGAGAGACAGTGCCAACAGCCATTAGCCAAGCTGACCTGTTCCTCCAAGCAACGGACCCTCTGTCGATGGGCTTTCTCCCGTGCCTCCAGCGCTCTCTCAGCCTGCTGCTGGGACCCCCGCAGCCGCTCAGTTTCCAGCTCCAGCTCCTGCCTGTGGCGGGCAGTCACCTCCAGGAGGCGCTGTGAGTGAGCCTGCTCTAGGTGGGCGAGCTGGGACTGCACATAAAAACACACATCACCCTGTCACTCCGCTAAAGAGCTGGAGCTAAAGCAGCCAAGTCGCATCCAATATGTAAGGAAGCCGAGAGGGGAAATGGAATTTTAATGTAGTAGATTTCTCACATCTCAGATTTCACTGGAACGGAGATTCAGGTGACTGGATACTGATTTATGCACTGGAAGTATTTGAATTAACCTCTCTTTCTCTCCCCATGTTTTTCTGTCTCCCCTCTCTGCTTTTGCCTCTCTGTCTCTCTCACCTTTAGGGTGTGTGTTTCTGAGTGCGTCTCACTCAGTTCCTGCTCCAGACTGCACACTGTCTGTTCCAGCTGCTCCTTCTGACGACCAGCACACACAGCCTCCTCCTCCTGCCTCCGACGCTCCTGCTCCACCTGCACACACAGACACAACACACACATGTAATTACCTACATGTGATAACAATTCTCTAAGTCTAGCCTTAAATCTAAGCCTAAGTATAAGGGAATGGTTCAGCAAAAAAATCTAAGTTCATTAAAACTAAAGTAGCAAACTTCAGACTTCAAACATCTCTTGGCAGATAGGTGAGGAGAAAATTAGATTAATTTTTGCTGAACCATGTCATTAAGTCAGTAAGCCATGGACAAAAGGCAATTTTGAAAAATCAATAAATCTTCACAACATTATTATTATTGATTTTTAAAAATAAAGATTTTTTAAATAGATATTTAGAAGCACAGATATTTTGTAGTTACATTTCTGCATATTGTTGCTGTCGCACAAAAAAACCTTTTGACTTTTTTCATGAAAGTCCAGTAGCCCAAAATGACTTGGAAAAAAAACTTCACATTCACATTAACTTTCATTACAAGTTGAGAATGTTTGTCCTTCTGCTGTAAAGTTACCATTTTGGAGATAAAGATTTTGTTTCGACAGCAATGATATCCAGGACCCCATTTACAAAGGGTCACTTCATGCATCTTAAGTATCAGGACTTTATCCGGAGGCCAAGCCACATGAAAATCGCTCAAACCACTTCAAGAGGCAGTCGAAGATGTCTCTCCAAGATACATTCAACAACCAAAACCCCTCCCAGTATAATCGAAACTCCACCCCATACAGTACTGGGCATGTGATCCGTGTCTATGAGGAAGGTAATCATGGAGGATGCACATGGTTGGGAACTGCATGAAACTAAATGCTTACTAGCAATATGGACAGACACTACTGTGCAAAACAAACTGCAGATGACTTAATAAATAATTGGTAATTGGTTTCTGTGTAACAAGTGGATTTGTATATTCTGTTCCACACAACAATTGGGTTTCAATCCGACTAACCAGAGATGCATTAGACTACCAAATGTAAATGCATGTGGCTAAAATCTTGTCAGGATACAATCCAGAAACTAGTCACATGAAGTGACCAGGTGTAAACAGGGTCTAGGAAAGTTTCCATTAGTGCCTATAGGGGAAACAAGCCATAAAGACTTTGCACACCCAAACTCCCAAATTTTACAGAAAGATTAAAAGCACATCAAGTTTTGAAAAAACACAAACATTAACACTAGCGTCAGCTCATGGTTGCCCTGAACACACATACCATGGAGCTTCAGGTTCTGTATAAGCTCTGAAACTGCTTGTGTTTGTTGATTTTTTGATATTTACCCAGTGTCTGTGTCTAGTCACACTGACTAAAAGAAAAATTAATAACTTGCAAATCAGTGGATCTTTCTCTGCATCCTCCCACATTAAACAAAAAAAGCACATTGGACTTGATGTGAAGGTTTTAGTGTGTTAAATCCGTAAAAAATGACTTGACACCTCATGACAAAACATAGAACTATAATTAAGCCATTAAGTGGGACACTAACTGTTGCGTTTGTAAATTAAGTAAAACTAGGACTGGTGTTTCAGATAACAGACCAGAGCACAGAACTCTCACGCTTACAAAATGAAAAGAAAAAATGATAAATTCTACTTACCAACTTTATGTTCATTATCAATAACTGGCTCTGACATTGTATGTTATCTCTCAGCTTTTCCTGTGCTTTTATCACATAGTCACACCAAACAAACATACGTATAAACATGCAAGCACAACACTCACATGCATTTAGACATGCCAGTCATATGCTGAACCCTAATGTCTGCAGCAGAATCAACATCTGTCCCCAGACATTTACATGTGTCAGTCAATGGCAGCACACACAACACACAGAGCCAGACAAAGACACAAGCATGCAAACAGTAGCTGAGCACCTGGAGAAACGTTGATCTCTCCCGTCTGCTATGAATGAAGAATCAATATGTCACCAGCAATATGGCATCTTACCAACAAATCAACACAACAAACTATCTGAAAACGATCTGAAACTATTACACAGCAGGAGGCTCAGCAATTGAGGATATAAATGAATGAATAAAAAAGCACAGATGCAGTCAGGCACAACAGCGCACAGAGCGGTATGCTGATATGAGCCAGGAGATGAAATAGATCCAGACAAGGCTACACAGATAAACAATTACAAACATTATATTTATTACTCCATATTATAATTATAAACATAATATTTTATTGTTACAACTTAGAATTATGTGCTTTATAGTGTCAGATTATAAATCACACTGTAGTTTACTGCTTTGTGCAGGGCTTGACATTAACACGTCTGCTTGTCCATGACAAGAAAAAGAAATCATACCATACTATCATCCCTTTGTACAAGTAAATACACAAAGTAACAATAAAACAGGCTATTAAATTAATTTTTAAACAAATGTTCTTAGAGGAGAGAACACATTAAAAACAATAATTTCAGCAACCAGCATATTTTGTGTTTTCATTGCTAGTATGCTGGTCAGCAGCAATGAAAGTTATTAGACTGATCACCAACAAAACCAGTATTTGTGATGTTTTGGATGCTGGTATGCTGAACCAGCACTGCACCAGCATAGACCAGCATGAAATGCAGGCTTTTTCTCTTGGCCGAGAAGAAAGTAGCTTAATTAGCTGCAAAAGAAACCATCAAAAAACATGGCTTGCTTATATGAAATGTTTTGTGTGCTTTTTTTAATAACATTAATTTTGTTAAGTTAAGAAGCAGGTCTCAGTTAATGCTAGCTAGTTAGTGTCTTTAATTTAATGACATTTATTGAACACCAGCACTCTAGCTGCTCACTTAGTGCAAGTTGCTTTACCTCAGAAAATCATGTGAAATAAGTGAGAGGAGACAGATGAAGCATGCATGTATATATATATATCCAGTGGTGTTTGAACATCTGTAAACCCTTTAGAATTTTCTATATTTCTGCATAAATTTGACCTAAAACCTCATCAGATTTGCATACCCATCCTAAAAGTAGATAAAGAGAATCAAATTAAACAAATTAGACAAAAATATTAGACTTGGCCATTTACTGGGGAAAATCATCCAATATTAAATATCTGTGAGTGGCAAAAGTATGTGAATCTTTAAGATTGGCAGATAATTTGAAGGTGAAATTAGAATCAGGTGTTTTCAATCAATGGCTTAGCAATCAGGTGTGAGTGACCACCCTGTTTTAATTTAAGAACAAGGATCTATCACAATCTGATCTTCACAACATGTTTGTGGTAGTGTCTCATGGCACGAACAAAGGAGATTTCTGAGGACCTCAGAAGAAGAGTTGTTGATGCTCATCAGACTGGAAAAGGTTACAAAACCATCTCTGAAGAGTCTGGACTCCACCAATCCACAGTCAGATTGTGTATAAATGGAGGACATACAAGACCATTGTTATGCTCCCCAGAAGTGGTCAACCAACAAAGAACACACCAAGAGCAAGACATGTAATACTCTGCGCGGTCACACCTTTAGAAGAACACTGAACAGCGATGGTATGTATGGCAGGGCTGCAAGGAGAAAGCCACTGCTCTCCAAAAAGAACACTGCTGCCTGTCTGCAGTTTGCTAAAAGATTACATGGACAAGTCAGAAGGCTATTGGAACAATGTTTTGAGGGTGGATGAGACATCTTTTTGGTTTAAATAAGAAGTGCTATGTTTGGAGAAAGGAAAACACTGCATTCCAACAACAACAACAAAAAAAAACATATTCCAACTGTGAAACATGGTGGTGGTAGTATCATGATTTGGGCCTGTTTTGCTGCATCTGAGCCAGGACAGCTTGCCATCATTGATGGAACAATGAACTCTGAATTACACCTTCAAATTCTAAAGGAAAATGTTAGGAAACTCAGGGTCTTGCAGCAAATCAACGACCCTAGCACACAAATTGTTCTACCAAAGAATGGTTAAAGAAGAATAAAGTTAATGTTTTGGAAAGTCAAAGTCCTGAGCTTAATCCTAAAGAAATGTTGTAGAAGGACCTGAAGCAAGCAGTTCATGAGAGGAAACCCACCAACATAACAGAATTAAAGCTGTTTTGTACAGAGGAATGGGCTAAAAGTCTGCTAAGCCTATGTGCAGGACTAATCAATAGCAACCAGAAACGTTTAGTTGCAGTTATTGCTGCACAAGGGGGTCACACCAGATACTGAAAGCAAAGGTTCAAATACTTTTGCCACTCACAGATTTGTAATATTGGATCATTTTCCTCAATAAATAAATGACCAAGACTAATATTTCTGTCTCATTTGTTTAGTTTGGATCTCCTTATCTACTATTAGGATTTCTGAAAATCTGTATAGACATTGTCTTAGTAACCTTGATTGTTGTATCTTAAGTACACAGTTTTTGTAGATTTGCAATTTGTACATTACATATCTTTATGAACCTGATATGAATAAATAACTTCTGTACACCTGAAAAACCACAGTCTAAATCACATCCATACAAACAGGTATTTACAAATTGCAAATGTACAAATACATGTCATATACAGTTTATGATGAAGCAGTACTAAATAAAATGCTTTCTAATTGTGATTAAATGATTTATTTTTGTGATTAATACTCAGACACTTCCATACCCTCATCTGTACCTTCTGCAGTGTACGTTTGAGCGCCGCCTTATCTTTTCCGAGACGGGCCAGTATCTTGTCCAACTGTGTCCTGTCGTCCTGCAGGCTGTGAAGTGAGTTCTGCAGAGTGGTCACATGCTTCTGTAGCTCTGCTCTGTCCTTATGCAGCAAAGTGCAGCTGTCCCGAGCTTCCTCAGCAGCGTGCTCACTCTGCCGCAGAGCCTGAGACAATCAGAGGGAACACAGGCGCTTATAGCATCCACCTTTCACAGGACATGATTACTGATCTAATAGGAGATATTGCTTGTTTAGGAACTTCTATGGGAAACAGAACATGAAACAGAACACACTCAGAACATGAGAGGCGATGTAGAGCAGAAGGTACATCTGCTTCTCATTTGGGTACGTCTCCATGTGTGTGAGTGTGTGTGTGTGTGTGTGTGTGTGTGCATGATATGATGTTCCACAAAATTCAATTTCATACAATGTTCCCAAATGGAGACATGACCTATTTTGGTTCATTTCTATAGATAACAGTATGTCATACAGTGTCAGAAACGACATAGGCAAGTCTATTCGAGATTACTGAACTGAATGCAGTTTGAGGCAAGTGTTTGATGATGTAGGCATGCAGTTTCCACATTGATAACTGGATCACAGGGCTTATAGCACCTATTACTTGTTAGTTAGCTACTGCTTTAAGCTTTAAACTATCCTCGTCTTTGTAAAAATCCAGTGAGTTTGTGCGCATGTGTCACCTCCTGCAGGCTGCGTGTGTGTTTGTCCAGTTCGGACACTCTGAGCTCTGATTCCTCATGACTCCTCTGCAGGCTCTGCAGTCTGTCACTCAGAAGTAGGTTCTGCTTCTTACTGTCTGAGAGAGCTTCCCGTGCCTTCTCCAGATGCTCCTGCACAGAAATACATACACTGTGAAAACACTGCTTTTGCTTATCTAACCTTAAATTTTGCTTTGCATTGTTCCATTTAAAGTAGGGATGTAAATGATTAACCGATTACCTCTGAACCCACAAACAATTATTTGGCCAGTGGTATTGATAAAAAAAAGGTATTGATAAAAAAAATGATTATTTTATTTTATTTTATTTACAATAAACAGCTGATCTTATTGTAATAAGCAGGTTTATCATTCAAGTTGAGGAACATTTTTTAAAACTGTACGCAGGCAATTAGTTCTGCTAGACCAAAAATGAAGCTGTTAAAAATAGTGGTGCTTGAGAGGATGATAACACAACTACAATGATGTACAAAATCAAAATTAACCGCTGTAATTGCTGTTCCTGCTGGCTTCTCTCTTACCTTCCTTATCATTTTTCTGAAAGCTCACTGTAAAATCTTGCATGGTGCACTTGTCTGGGAACGATTAGTTGTCGTTCCATGAACTTTCTACTTGCATATTATTAAACCAATTATACTAACATATATGTTTAAGCTATGACTCTGTAACGTTTCCTATTCAGCATTGTTTTCCATGTATTTCCATACATTATTACATTTCAGTTCCCTGAGAACTTTAAGTTTCATCACATTCATCATGATTGCTATTGTATATATGTCAACATATATATCTAAATACATTCACACACATATATTTTTAATATATGTCTGAATACTTTTCTGAATGCTTTGTCTTTCTTTATGCTTATGAATACATATATGGATATATGCACTGAAAGTTTCTTATTTAACAAAATCAAAAGTGTCTGAATACGTGTTTCCCCTCTCTGTATAGTGAATGGGGCCTAGTTTCAGACATAGCTTCAGATTTTTAAAGTACTTGTAACAAAGCCTTAGTAATACCCACTACTACTCCTTGTCTTTTTGTCCTTGTCTTTGGTAGAGTTTATTAAGAAATGTGGGCAGTTTTTCTTCCTTGTATTGGCATGGTCTGACAGGTCCTGAGCAAATGTCAAGAGATTTATACCATGCACGACATGTTTTTGTTTGCACAGCATCTTAAAAACGTTGACTCAAACGAAAGCTTAAAAGCCCTCCAGAGGAGCCTGGAGAGAAGTAACGAGCTTGCGCCAACGGTTTATAGTGCAGCCGTCCAGCTCCTTCAGGGAATGCGCCACAACAACAGCGCACAAAAACTGGAAAAAGTTATGACACGACAGCATAAATCACCTGGAGCCGTGGCAGTCAAAGGGCTGATTTAATCTAAAGGTTTCAATTAAAGCTTTTGTGGCATAGAGGCGAGATGAGATCATAATCACAGGCTTTGTGAGCGTTTGTGTGGTCGGGGCACGATGAAGTTTAATGGGGTTGTTTGTTAGTAAAGGATAAAGCAATATTAGAAGCACAGAGTTGTTGATGTATGCTCTTCAGAGCTTTGGCTTACATATGAGGCAGAAAGTACTCTCATTATGTTTACACAGCCTGAGGCTGGGCTCTGTAATTACGAACTATCATGTCTACTGTGCTATGATATGCCTATAATTAGATTACTGTGAATGGTAAGCGGCCTTAAGAATGTGCATAGTCAGCACAAATACCTGTAAATTCCTGTGCCCAGGCACACCCACACTCAGGATCTTTTCCACACATATTACCATTTTTATGGGATTTCTTAATTGACCCAGGTATTAAATACTGAAATGCCTTGAACTAAACTTGGCACTACAGAAGTTAGATTTGGTAGATTTATCCTCCAAACATGGAATCGTCCATAGGCTAATGCATTATTTTCATTTTAACTGATGTGTTGCAATTTTACGACGTAAATAACGTGAGCCGTGTAAGAATGCTGCTGCCACAACTACACCAAAATGTCATAGCATAATTATGCTCAATGCTAAATAGCTGAAAAGCCAGTTGTCTCTAAGTTTTGAAGTAGCACTTTGTTTGATTCATGTTGTTGAAACAGGTAACCGTTTTTCTATTTTTCCCAGTAAACAGCAAATAATGTAGTGTGTTTCATGTGTTCATTTAGCCCACACACTGTGAGTTTCAGGTTAAGATGATAAAAGCTAATAAAAATCAGCCAAAAAATCGCCATTGGGCGATTTTCTGTTAAGAAAGTGGAATCGGTCAATGAAATTCATGATTGGTTCATCAACTAAACTCAATCAAATCATAAGGAAATCTTCTGACTCTATTATCTTTTTTCCAATATAAACCCACCTGTAGTGTCTTGCGCTCCTGCTCACTTGCAGTGAGTGTGTTCTGAAGCTGGGTGGCCTGCTCTTGTGCCACTCCTGCACTGCTCTTGCTGTCCCTTAGTGCTGTTGCCATGCTCTGCAGTTTCTCACGCAGCTGAGCTTCCTGTAGATCTGCACGGGCCAGAGCTGTCGCTGACCGTTCACTTTCCACCTATAACACAGACAGGAGTCTCTGAGTCTTTCTGCCTGATGGGACGAATAAGTCGTTTCACAGCCTGACAAAATAACTGTGGATTAAAGGCCTTCTGTAATTGGGTGAAATTAAGCTGCCTCAGTATTAGCAGGCCTGTTCTAATCCACCTCATGCTAGTGGAATAACAGAACCTGCTAACACACATGGCCATGCTCCGTGTTGTTATTGTTATTGAGTGTGGCACTGAGGTGTAATTCTGATATCAACACACTCAGTTATAACCTTTCAATCTGGAGTATCTGTGTGAAGCTGGGAATATTACACAAATAGTTTATGCTCCTACATCGACCTTAGAACATTCATTACAGAACTTTCTCTGGTAAAACTAATCCATCTCTAGCAGTGCTTAAGAAAAATATCACCTGCATGCACATGTTCAAATTTCTAATATACACACACCTTCAGCAGTGCAGTGCACTCTTCACTCTCCCCCAGCTCCCTCCGCAGGCTGGTCACTCTCTCCTGCAGAGACGTCAGCTCCCCCTCTAGTTCGGCTGTCCGGATTTGGGAGCGCTGCAGCTCTCCCTCCAGAGTACACTGGCTCAGCTCCAGCCTGGAGGCTCGAGCCTCTGCTGTCTCCCAGCACTCCTTCAGCCTCCTGCACTCCACACCGAGACCAGCCTCTGACTCCTCCACACGCTGGAGGCTCTCCTGCACTCACACACAAATACACGCTGTCAATGATACGGATAGAGGAGGAACTTATAGGCAAACAGCATCCACTGTTAGGAATCCTTACCTTGTAAATCCATTTTGCTGGAGTACAGTTAGCTACTGTAGTCCATCTGTTGATGCACAGTTTGCATTAACCATCCTCTGTTCGGCAATTTCTGACCACAGAGGCGCTCTTTGATGGATACGTTTGGATGGCGGACCACTCTCAACCTAGCAGTGACATTGAAGCGTATAAAAATCCAGCAACCTCGCTATGCTAATACCTGCACTGCACACACACTATGTCCTTAGCATGTCTTTGTCACTGCTGTGTTGAGAATGGCCCACCATACAAAAAATACCTGGTTAACCTAGTCATGTGGTCAGAAACTGACAAGTGATAAATGGAATGAAAGTTAGCTGACAAGTTGTGCATAACAACAGATGCGTTGTATCTGATTGTGCACCTAGCAGGCCTATAAGGTGAAGGACCTTTTTCGAATAGAAAATCAATATAGAGGACATAATCCCTAAAATCAAAGCAGCACATTGCATGCATTACTGACTCAAGGTAGAACAACAACGCATACATAGACAAAAAACAAACATGAGAATTTCATAACAGCGCTTATGGCTGCCTCCATTATTAGAGAATTAACTGCAGTAGGAGCCGCACTACTGTTGTAATGAACACTAAATATTTCTCCCTTTTTGCTCATTGAAACAAGTGGAGAAATTTGGCAAAAAGTGCAGATTCTAAACTTTCAGTTGATACCACATTGGTACTTGTAAGTAGAAGAGGAGATGTTTTATTTATGATTTGATGAAGGTATCGTTGTCCATACAATATTGTTTTGATGTCCCTTATATCATTGCTGTCGGGACAAAACCTCATCCACCAAACCTCATTTTTTGACATAATTTGATAAAGGCAGTTGCCCTTAAAATTTCATGATGGATGACCAACATAAATGGTCTTGGAAAAAAATTGCACTTACTTCCATTAAAGTTAAGAATGTTCCTATAAAGTTACCTTTTGGGACATACAAGGTTTTGTTCATACAGCAGTGATATTCTATATTCCTTTTCTTGACCTAGAATATGTAACTAAAATGCAATTAAGTGTGTATTAAATCCATTCAAATACTTATGTAATGTAAATCAAATCTACAGAATGACATTGCATTTCTAAGGGTTAATCAGAGAGGATAGTAAGTGTATTTGTGGTTGTGTTACTTGTAGCGTTCTGGCATTAGCCTCGGCTGCCTGCAGGCTGTTCTTCAGCCTGGACAGCTCCTCTTCCATCTTTCTCTTCTCTCTGTCTCCACGCTGAAGCGCTTCCTCCTGCAAAGAGAGGGAAGCCTGAGCCCCCTCTAATTGCTCTGCCAAATCACGCTTCCCTACACACATAAATATACGCACACACACTTTTATGACTGTATCCTTTTTGAGGGTTTTCTGTAGAGCTCTGCATTACTGTTTCATGTATTACCATGTGTGACATTTTCTCCCTATATAGAGATTAACCCTCTAAACACTAAGGGCCCGTATGCCGAACCGCACTTCAATTCCTCACTCTCACAACCATCTAACATTCAAATTCATAGCTATTACTGGATTATAAGGCCAAGAGTAATGACTAAATTATGAGCCTGCAGTTTAAGGAGTCAATGCAAAGTCTACACACATACAGCCAAACACATACAACCAAACACAAACAGAAGCAGTGCCATCACTCTGAGATGGTCCAGGATATTGTAGGGTGGATGTCTTACCCTGCTCCAGATCTTTGAGAGAGTGTTTTAGCTGCTGTGCCTGTGCATTGCTCTTTTCTTGACCAGCCTGTTGCTCTGTGAGCTGCCTTCTCAGACTCAGCACCTGTGTTTGGGCCTCATCCTGCAAGACAGGGAGTTTTAGTTAACACTCAATTAAAGTCTGTTAAAGAAAATCAAAGTTCTGCTATACACTGAAACTGTTTATGAAAAGGATATATTTAATGTCTGTGAAATTTCTTTACTTTTTTTTTGCTTATGTTCATGTTATGCTTATGTTAAAGGAGTAGTTAAAGTATTATATTTACATTAAAATATTACAATTTCTCCCTTAAGAGTTGGGGAACATCTTACTCGCTCTCTTTGTGCATCTTTAAGATCCTGCTGAAAGCTGCGAAGTGCCGCCTGCACTGAGTCCACATCTATCTGTCCCTCTTCTCCATGAGTTGGGGACACACAGCGGGCCTGCACCCCTTCTATCGGCCCACCAGATACACACTCACCTCCTACACATAAACACACACAAACATGAGGTTATACACATTCATATATCACACACACAAACTAACACAAACAGACACACATGCCTGAGCCATTCCCAGGCCAACTTATGATCCCTCCAGCGGGTCCTAGGGTGACCTCGAGGTTTCGTACCGGTCAGGAGGTGGCCAGGGGGCATCCGAATCAGATGCCTGAACCACCTCAACTGCGTAGTAACAGCTCCACTTTAAGCTCCTCCTGGATGACCGAGCTCCTCACCCTATCACGTAAAGGGTAGCCCACCACCCTGAGAAGAAAGCTCATATTCTATCGGTCATTACCCAAAGCTCATGACCATAGCTGTGGGTTGGGATGTAGACCAACCAGTAAACAGAAACTTTGCCTTCTGGCTCAGCTCCCTCTTCACCACTACAGTCTGGTGCATTAGTGACTGCATTAGTGCTGCTGTCTGTCCCGGCCTGAGGCTGATCTCATGACCCCCCTTCCCATCACTCGTGAACAAAACCCTAAGATACTTAAACTCCTCCGCCTCGGGCAGGTCCTTTCTCTTTACCCAGAGTGAGCATGCCATTCATTTCTGGGCTTGGACCATGAACTCAGACTTGGAGGTTGAGATGCACATACCAACCACTTTACGGGGTATTTGTGGACTGCTACTGCGTATATATTACAATATCCTCTGGACACCCTTGCTAAATATTGAGTTCAGGTGTTTCAGCCACACCCGTTGTTAACAGGTGTATAAATCAAGCACATAGCCAAGCAATCTCCATAGACAAACTTAGAATGGGTCATGCTGAATAGCTGAGAGACTTAAAATGTGGCTTTGTCATAAGATGGTTTCTTTGCTACAAGTCAATTTATGAAATTTGTGCCCTACTAGATCTGCCCAGTAAATTGTAAGTGTTATTATTGAGAAATAGAGACATCTAGGAAGCAAAAGCTCAGCCAAGAAATGACAGACCATGCAAACATTCAGAATGGGGCTTTCGTGTGCTGTAGCACATAGGGCGTAAAAATCATGAATCCTCTGTGATCTTCCTGAAACAGGGTTCCATGGCTAAGCAGCTGCACACAAGTCTAAGATCACTATGCGCAATGCCAAGCATCAGCTGGAACAGTGTAATGCACACCGCCATTGGACTCAGTGGTGTAATGGAAATGTGTTCTCTGGAGTGATGAGTCACTCTTCAATATCTGGCAGTCTGATGGACATGTCTGGTTTGGAGGATGCTAGGAGAATAGTGCAGTGTCAACAGTAAAGATTGGTGGAGGAGGGATAATGGTCTGGGGCTGCTTATAAGGTTTTGGGCTCAGCCCTGAAGATCCAGTGAAGGGTAATATTAATGCTACAGCATACAAAGATTTTTTAGACAAGTATATGCTTCCAACTTTGCAGCAACACTTTGAGGAAGACCTTTTCCTATTCCAGCATGACTGTGCCCCCATGCACAAAGCGAGGTCCATAAAAACATGGTTTGATGAGTTTGGTGCAGAGGAACTCCAACTGCCTTCACAGAGCGCTGACCTCAATGTCCATAGGTGCCTAACCTTACAAATACCCTTTTGATCAAATGGGCACAAATTCCCACAGACAAAGTCCAAAATCTTGTGGACAGACTTCCCAAGAGTGCTATAGCTGCAAAGTAGTGGGGGCAAATCCATTCTAATGCTCATGGTTTTGGAATGAGACATCCATCAAATTCATGTAGATGTGATGGTCAGGTGTCCACATACTTTTGGCCAAATAGTGTATTTATACAAACATCAGCCCAGAAGATTCTTTAAGAGAAACACCATGTAAACAGTCATAGCTCAAACATTCAGAGTTCTCTCCACCAATAACCTCTCACAGTCTTCTCTCCTTATCCGTACCTTTCTCAAGGGAGCGATTTCTCCATGGTGACGGCCTTCTGGCTCTTGGCCCGGGTGTGGATGACCTTGCTCTATACCCGATTCCCAGCGTGCGCCTAAGGGCAGAGGTCAGGCCACTCAGCCTGTGCTCCAGGTCAGTGCGGGAGGCATCAGCCTGAGCCAGCTGCTCCTCTAGGCTCTGCCCTCGGCCCTCTGCCAGCTTCAGCTCCACACTCTGCTCCCTCAGCTCAGCCTGCACCTCTTGCAGGGCCACCTCCAGCTGGGAAGTCTCCTCGCGCTGCCGCCGCTGGCTCTCCTGCAGACTGGCATCTCGCTGCTGCTGGGACTCCTTCTCCAAGCGTTGGGCCTCCTCTAGCTCAGCCACACGCCGCTGCAGACCGGCCACCTACGTACATACACATTATACCTCTACCTTTTATACCTTGTACCTCTGCACATGACCCATTTTATTATATACAGGCCTGTGCCGGTAAAAGAATCCTCTTATTTGGGTAACCATGTGGCACATAACTGTGGTAAACGGTTAAACCAGGCGAGAGGGGTGGTGGGGGAGATGTTTTGCTTTACTTTGTTTTTCCTCAGAATGTACACATATAGCAATAACTTTGCTACTACTACTACTACTATTACTACTACTGATACTAATGATAATAATGATTAAGGCTATTATTTTGTGTAGTCAATCTCAATTAATCTTATTTGTAGTATTTGCTCAAATTGTACTTTGATGATTTTTTCCCATTTAAAAGACTGAGACAAAATAATTTTATTCAGAATATGTATTACTTCCAATAATTAATGTATAAATGCAGGATTCACATGAACCTGAACTTCATGTGATTTCCACAGAGTGAACACAGTTTCCAGTTTTCCTCACCAGCATCCATTGACAGCAACCGTGACTGCATCAATGAATGTTCACCAAGTGTTAGCTTGATTTGCTTGTTAGGTTAATCTTTGTCAAATAAAAGAACACAATAGCACAAATTTCTGAAAGTGGTGGTTGTAGTCAATTGTTGTTTTTAATTTGGCCATGACACTATAATTAATCTAGTAAGAAGAATGAAACTGTGGATGTCACACAAACCTTATGGTCCAATGGTGCTTCGTCTAAGGTTAATGTGCCCATGGCTGCTGATGCATTGTTGTGCGAGGCCGTTTTGCCTCATGTCTAATTGTAGGATAGCTGCGCCATGACCGTGTTTTGCACAAGACAAATAGCTATTTTTTCTGATGTCTGAAACCTGATGGTGTCCTACAACATACACCATAACATAAACTCTCCTCCCCTGCGTTCAACCAGTGCAGCTCAACAGCCACATTTCTAAGACTTATCTCCTCTATTTTACTTCAATTAAATGCAGTATTAATATATCACATCACCCAGTGTTCTGATATGGTTTGCATGAAATTCATAATTGATGGCCGATAGTTTTATTTTTAAAGTGGTGCTAAATGAGTTTTAACCCTCACTGGGGGCTGTTACTATAGTGACTCGGTTAACTGTCACCAGTAAATGTGACTATGTAGAATTTTTGATGCCTTAAAATGACTAAAAAAACTATAACCCAAACCTCTCGAACCAAAACAAAATGATTTTGGCCGGTCAGTTAAAAAAACAAGAAAGATACAGCTTTTGCAAAAAATCAGCGTTTTGCTGGTGCTGATGAGGTATTGTCAGGACATTTAGTCAGGATTCACATAGATGTTATTAATTCCTAATAGCTAGTGAACTGTAAGTCTTAAGATTAATAACTGAATAATAAGCCTGGATTCATCCCCTAATCTCAACCCACACCTGCCCTTTTGCAAATAAACAGAGATAAACTCATTAGATGTGAGTGAGACTCTCACCTCCTTCAGTGCAGCCTCTCTGCCGGCATCACTCTCCAACACTCTCTGTTTGAGGTTAAAGGTTTCTTTCCTCCCCTCCTCCTCTCTCTGCTCCTCCTGAGCCAGACGAGTCTGAAGCTCACTCAGCTCCTGCTCACGCTGGGCACACTGGCCTTCCAGAGTCTTTATCTGCCCACACAGACACAGGTACACAGATACATACACACATTTTCAGGTGAGCAAAAAGTCAGTGATTAGGCCTAAATCAGAGGTGCAGATCACAGCCCTCCACAAATGAGCTTTTTACCTCTTCTAACACATGAAATTCAAGGCATTTGTATTTAGTTGATGAGTTAAATCAGGTGTGTTAAATGAAGCAGAATGCCAAAGTCTGCAGTGCTGTTGCATTAGAGGACTGGCATCTTTCACCCTCAGATGTAGACATATCTCATTTGTCATTCAGCTGTGGTCAGATATGAACTATACTGACCTTTCTACGCAGTTCCTGCAGTTCTCTGCGTGCCTGCAGGTGAGATTTCTCCAGCTCACGTATGCTGTTTCTCAATTTCTGTGTCTCCTGCTGAAGGGAGGACTTGCACTCCTCTAACACTACCAGCCTCTGCTCCCTGTCCTCCAGAGATCGCTTCAGACTGAAAGAGATGCACAGAGAGAGATAGAGAGGATAGTGGAGAGACAGAGAGTGAAAGAAAAAGACGGGCCAGTGAAAGAGAAAGTGTCAAGGACAAACATGATATTATCGGTTAATATTATTTTTTCCTGCCTGCTGCTGCTTGGTAACATAATCAATATCAAAAGAGGAGGGAAAAATATATTACAACATGATGGAAGAAACTGACGCCTGCAACACATTCCAATAAATTTGGAAGAAGGGCAATTTAAACTACAAATGTTTCCAAAAACAAACAGGATATAAAACAGTAACGTTCATGAGGTAAAAGATAAAATATAATTTGTACTGTTTTCAATTTAATACAGGTCAAATGGAATTTACTTGAATTTACTAATCACCCAAGTTGGTTTGTCCATACTGAAATTATAAAGCATTAACACGAAATATTTTAATTATTAAAAAAACATTAAATAAAACATTCTTAATACTTCACACTTTTATTTAATAGGTTTAAGGTAAGATCAATTAAAATATCAACACAAAGCTCTGGACCTCTTTAAGGCTGTTTCTGTAATAAGCATTAATTAGAAACGCAGAGAAGTAAAGGCACCAGCAACGATGGCCAGATCTGACCTCTTTATTAATGTCTAATAGGGGCTACCGCACTGTTGAAGTTTCTGTGAGTCACGGACCACATTTGGGTCAGGATCGGGTTGAGCTGGGAGGCCGCATACAAACCATGTTATTAGTGGCCACGCTAGGTTAATGGTGATGTTCAACAGTAATTATCTTCCCAGTGGCCTGAGAGACCACTGACCTCCCGAACGTTGGGGTGAACTTGAAACTCTCAGGACTGGGCAAGTAGGGAACGGGGACTCTGGCAACAGTCTTTCACATTAGAGACTCAATAACATTGTAATTCACCACTAGTCCAGACAGCTTCTAATCAGTGGTCATTTTAAAGGAGTAGTTCATATAGCCATGAATCTAGTTTTACTTTGACCCCAAATTTTGATCAGCCAAGGCCATTTTTTTTGTCTGGATTTTCTTTTTTTTCCACTCGAGCTACGAAGCTAACAACAAATGGAGGATTAAAGTTTCGAAGATTGCATGACATCTTGTTACAGTCATGCTCACCATTATTGGCACCCCTTCCTTTTTTGCATAACCTGTACAATATCTTCAGAAATAAATGTAAATGTACCAAAGTTATATCTTCAGGATTTTTTAATTGGAGGTCCAAAGTAATACAACAAAAAAAACATTGTTTTTCAACTTGCATGTTGCAATTTTAAAGAAGAAACAGAATAAACAGCATGTGCAGCAATAAAGGCACCCCTTGTTAATATTTGGTTGCACACCCTTTGGCTGTGATGACAGCCTCCAAACGTTTCTTGTAGCCATCTATAAGCTTCTTGCACTTCTCAGCTGGTATTTTTTCCCACTCTTCCTTTGCAGTTTGTTCAAGCTCTTGAATGTTTGCAGGATTCTTTTTCCCAATGGCAGATTTCAACTCACCCCAAAGATTTTCAATGGGATTGAGGTCAGGACTCATTGCTGGCCATTTTAAAACAGTCCATTTTTTCCTTTTAAACCATTCCCGTGTACTTTTGGATGTGTGCTTTGGGTCATTGTCTTGCTGGAATACCCATGATCTTCGGCTCAAACCAAGTTTTCTTACACTGGGTAGGACATTTCGCTCTAAAATCTCTTGATAATTCTCTGATTTCATGATTCCTGTGATACGGTCAAGGCCTCCAGTACCAGACGCAGCAAAGCAACCCCACAGCATTATGGATCCTCCACCATGCTTAACTGTTGGTAGGGTGTTCTTTTCCTTATAAGCTTCATTGCGCCGTCTGTAAACAAACTGTTGCTTTGCATTGCCAAAAAGCTCTATTTTTGTTTCATCTGTCCACAAAACATTGTCCCAGAATGATTGTGGTTTGTCAAGGTACTCTTTGGCAAAGATCAGTCGTTCCTTTTTATGTCTTTTCTTTAGCAATGGTTTCTTCCTTGGCCTTCGCCCATAAAGCTCTGCATGGTTTAGCGTGCGGCGTATGGTACTTGTTGAAACCATGACCCCAGACTGTTCCAGGTTGGCCTTCAGTTCTTTGGATGTTTGCCTTGGTGTTTTTTCCACCATTCGCACCAAACTTCGAAGACTTCTCTTGTCAATTTTCCTCTTTCCCCCACGTCCAGGGAGGTTCTTGACAGTTCCATGCTTGGCAAACTTCTTAATAACATTGCGCACTGTTGAAACTGGGATACCAAGGTCTTTGGAGATGGCCTTATACCCTTTGGAAGTCTTGTGTTTGCTAATAATAGCACTTCTGATGTCCTCAGACAGCTCCTTTGTCTTCACCATTGTAACAAATGAACATGGCCCAACGTATGGCTTTTTAAAACCCTGAAGTCATCATTCATTGGCTAATTCATGTCACATGGGCACTGAATTTGTCACAGGTGATTATCATTTGCGATTTACCACAGGTGAGTGAAAATTTGTTTCCATATTAAATTAATGTAAAGGGTGCCAATACCAGTGTCACAGCAAGCTTTAGGTTTTTTCTGTTTTTCCCTCACATTGTTTTTTGTTTTAAATTGTTGTTTATAGTTTGCTCTTTTGTTTTAAATATGAGTGCTCTATACAAAAAAACTGTTTCAGTTGATTCATTTTTTCAGGGGATATTCCACAATATGTACTTAAACTTCATGGGTGCCAATAATGATGAGCAGGACTGTATCTATGGAAATGTACAACATTATGTTGCATAGCTAAATCAGTAGAAGTATCTACTGAAGCTTGAATCGTGCATACTTTTGTTCATTTTATAGATAACATTATGTGATGTCAGACACATATGTACATTTTGGGCGCTCTTGGTTAAATTACAGTATTGTTGCTTTTCCAAGTGAAAATAAGTTAATGCACACTTACTGTTTATTTTCTGAATATAAAAGAAAAATACAATTAAAATAAAATAAAATAAAACAAGACATGCATTTTTTTCCAACATTTGCCATATTCAAGCTTGCTTTCTGTAGAGAATGTGTATTTATTTTTGCTTAGAAAATTGACAATAAATGTCATTTGACTAGGAGTGTTTAAACTTTTGTAAGCACGACTGTGAGCATGTTTATCTGAGATTAACAAGTCAATATTGTTTGAAGTAGGGCATGCACTTGGCGCAATGCTAAGTTGGCAAACTGGCAAGGTATTAGCTTACTGTAGTGTTTTAGCTTCCAATAATATTGTAGAAAAATGTTTTGTGCATGCCTCTGCCATTTAAAGTGGAGTTGTTTAACTTCAACCTTGCCATGTGCTGACCTTAAAACACATGGTTGTTAAAATGGAGAACAGTGGAAAAAAAAACGTACAGTGGGGTCCAAAAATCTGAGACGACAAGTGAAAATGCTTAGATTTTGCTCTCTTTTCTAATTCAATCAAAACCTTTCACTACGAAGTATATAAAAATGAAAGAATTTTTGAAACATTTAAACAAATTTCAAAATTTCTTCGTATTTGGTACGTTCCCCTTCTACTTTAATGACAGCATCGATTTGAACTGGTATGAACTCCAAACGTTTGTGCAACAATTGAATGAATGGAATAAGACACAAAAAATCTGACCTTTTTGTACAAAGGCCTCAATATGGTCAGTGACACATATACTAAATTTGAATTGTGACCTAAAAATAGTGCGAATCTTGAATATTTCTTCTTTATTTTAATTTTTTAAAACGTTCTGTTGTTTACTTCAAGGTTTAAATGAGACAAAAAACAATCAGTCCTCTCACTAAATTTAATTCTAACATATTCTAAGCATGAACACAAAAGATATGCAAAAACTCTGCCCAGTTGGTGCCTCACATCCAAGGCAGACCCAGCCCAGACACAGGCAGCAGCTCAGTGGAATGGAACAGGACAAGTCTGGGCTTGTGTGGCTGTGTCTGTGTGTGTGTGTGTGTGTGTGTGTGTGTGTTGAACCTGTTATTGTCGCTCTCAGCTCTCTTCACAGCAGCTCTGAGCTCTTGGTTGGAGGTGTGGATGGCCTCTCTTTCCCTGCTCTCGTCCCCAAGTGCTCTCCTCAGCTCCAGGCTCTCCCTCCGCTGGGCCTCCTTCTCCTGAACACAGTCTCGCAGCTCACGATGAGCTTCGATCAGCTCTCTCCTCACAGCATCTCTACTCTCCTCCACCTCAGCCAGAGCCCTCCGCAAACACTCCACCTGAGGAAGAGAAAAGAACTTGATGAAGCATTATTTAGCTGAATCATGTATTAAACAGTGACTACAAATAATAGGCTGCCTCGAAGAGACATTTGAAAATGGTAATTAGAGTTAATAATCAGGGGATTCATTTATCAAAGTTTATGTTTTTCTGAGCAAATAAATGATTACTGCCAGAGATGACACAATAGCACTTTTTTTCTAATACCGATTTTAAATTGCAAGTATCAGTCAAAAAAAGACTAAGCTTTAAAACTAGTTATTATCAATTGTAGAACATCACTTAAAGGTACACTACGTAAGATTTGGGGATTTGGTGGAAATGTGTGATTGCACATTTTGTTGCATCTGTTATGCTTCGGACTCCTTCCCCAAGCAGATAAATCTGATGACTGCAAGTGTGTTGAAAGAAAACTCAAAGAAAACTTGGTGAAGGATGTTTCTTCTACTATTGTCATTATATCTTCTTCATTTTAATGTTGATATTAGATTTGAGACCTAAACAGCGAGTCTGACCTTTTTTTAAAGCCTGTGTATGTAATGTTCATATGTAAAGATGTATGATGTGGTCCAAAAAGCTCCGACCCAACACCTCTGACTTATATCAGTATTTCAGGCTTTACAGGGTGACTCGCAGCAGTGAATGAACACCATATTCTAGCATGTTTTTTTGTAAGGACTACTTCTCTCATTTATAACAAAAAAATCTTACTGCAGCTTTAAGATCAGCATTTAAAAATAGCCAATCATGCTGAAACACACTACTATCCCACAGGAGTAAATATGTGAGTAAATGTATGCTATTTCAGACTAGATTTGTTACAAGATTGTATCGCATTCATTTTTTCCTTCCCTCCGACATCTGACCCAGTATTTCCTGCTGATATTAGTCTGATACTGATACCCATTGATACCGATATGTCATCTCCACCTACAGCCTAGGTAAACAGCTTTAAATTTCACTTTCTCAGGTGGCCTCTGACTTCTGCACATCACTGTAAGTATTACACAGCTGCTTACTTTACTCTCAAAGGCATTTAAATGGGTTAACCACTATGTTCTCATAACCATTTATATTGTAGTCAAATGAGGGGTATTTAAGTCAGACTATATTACTGCTGGTAGTAGATGTGAAGATTCCTGACAGCTGTATTCCATACGTGGCACGGGTGTGCTGAGGACAGTCCTGTTCCACTTTCCATGGGTTTGAATGAAATGGAAACACAGCCTATTAGTAAAATTCCATTGCTCCGTTCCATTCAGCACTCGGAGCGTGCGAGCATCACACTCCTCCAGGCAGATTTTCTGCCTTTCAGCACTGCTTTCAGAAGGAGCAAGGCGCAATATGCATTTGGAAATGGTGTTTTTGATCATAATATATAGAAGGTCCGGGTGGGCTCTGTCACACTTGCATTAGCCTCGCTCAGGTTGCGGCCCCTCATCCATGAGAACACACAGGAGAATGACCTACATTCTGGTAATGGTCTGGCACGCGCTCATCACATTACGGCACAGATTTTTGTGCCGCAGAAGCCAAAGGGCAGCCAGCAAAGAGAGACAGGGAGAGAGAGAAAGATAGAGTGAGGGAGATAGACAGAGAAAGCAAGAGAGAGAAACAATGGGAGGAATAATGAAAGAAACAACAAAACTGGCTCCAACCACTGCCGAATACAGCAGCATGTTAGGAAACATCAGCCCTGTATGTGTGCGTGCGTGTGGGTGGGTGGTTGTGTGGGGGCGTACGGGGGTGTGTGTGTGTTTGTGAGGATTTTTTTAACAGGGCCACACAAGTAGTTTTCTTCTCATAAATCCAAATGTGAGAAAAATAATGCCGTACAATTCTGGCCCGGGCTGCTGGAGTCGAGTTTATTGATATGAGAAGTGAATGGAGGAGGAGCAGAGAATTTGTGGCTTAAAGGGGTGTCAGGGTGCATCTGACCATCTCCATGGGAACATCAGGGCTTCATTTATGCCAGAACAAGCCAGATTCAGATCCGGCACCTCCTACAACAGATCCGACACCTGTTTTAGTGGATTTGGGACCTCATCATAATATTTTCTCGCACACTTTCATTGTCAACTCCTGTTTGGGCATGCACAGTGACCACAATGGTAACAAAAATAAAGGTACACACTGCACTGCTTTTATGAAGTATCAAAATCTTCTTTGACTGCTTACTGGGGATTTTTATCTAGCTACGTGAGTGAGTGAGTGAGTGAGTGAGTGAGTGGGAGAGGGAGTTACAAGCCTGCCCTGATGCTGTTTATCACTTGTGAATGCACCACTACTGCTGTGACTGTTCATCCCTCTAAAAAGCTTGGTAATGCTGAGCTAAATCACTGGCTTGTGACATCAGTGTACTGATTGAATTATAAGCTACTCATGAATTAGAACAGTGGTTTGCCAACCCCAGACAGTCCTCTGTCTTTTTTCTCTATCCCTATATGTTGCAAGTTGGGTTGGAGTAAAAATCTGGACAGTGTAGGGGTCCCGGAGGACTGGCTTAAGAAACACAGCATTAGAGGCTTTGTTTTTGAGAAAAATATGTATGAAAACATTAGTCACATTGGTCATACGGTCAAGCGTTATGAGGAAACCTCATAGTAAGCCATGAATCTGATGACCCTTGTTAGTGTATACTATAATTTTTTGTTTCGTTCCAGGACCTCCTCCCCTCCCCTCACTCCACCAACTTGCCAGATCCATCACTACTCATTGTTCTTGGACCTCATCATTTACAAATCAAGCCCTGGACAATAAGTGCTCTCTGAGCAAGCTGGATACGTCTTTTTTCCCTCCTCTTCTCTTCATTCTCCCCCCCTCCCTCTATCACTTGCTATCTCTCCCTCATCACTCCCTATCTCTCTCTCTCTCTCTCAATCCCTTATTCCCTCCCTCTTTCACTCCCTCTCTGGTTCTTTTAATCCCTCACTCCCTCCCCACTTTCCCTCCCTCTCTCAATCCCTCTTTCTCCCTCTCATTCCTTTGTTGCCAACTCACACCCTCTTTCCCTCTTTTGCTCCATCTTTTCCTCTCTCACTCCCCCTCACTCTCATTCCTTCTCTAATTCCCCCTTTTGCTCTTTCACTTCCTCTCCCCCTCTTTCACTTCCTCTGTCTCTTTCTCTGCTTCTCCTGCTACCCCTTTCCCCCTCTCTCCTCCTCCAACCTCCCAACACACTCTCTCACTCCCTCTCTTCGCTCCAGACCACCCAACACTCTCTCTCACTTCTTCTCTCCCTCCCTACCACTCCACTCTCTCTCACTCTCTCCTCTCCCAACCACTCCACTCTCTCTCTTCTCCCGACCACCCCACTCTCTCTCACTCCCTCTCTTCGCTCCCAACCACTCCAGACGACTCTTTCACTCCCTCTCTCCTCTCTCAACCACCCCACACTCTCTTTAACTCCCTCTCTCCTCTCCCGACCACCCCACACTCTCTCTCACTCCCTCTCTCCGCTCCCAACCACCCCACACTCTCTCTCACTCCCTCTCTCCGCTGCCGACCACCCCACACTCTCTCTCACTCCCTCTCTCCTCTCCTGACCACCCCACACTCTCTCTCACTCCCTCTCTCCTCTCCCAACCACTCCACTCTCTCTCACTCCCTGTCTTCGCTCACAACCACCCCACACTCTCTTTCACTCCCTCTCTCAACCACCCCACACTCTCTTTCACTCCCTCTCTCCGCTCCCGACCACCCCACACTCTCTCTCACTCCCTGTCTCCGCTGCTGACCACCCCACACTCTCTCTCACTCCCTCTCTCCTCTCCCGACCACCCTGCTCTCTCTCACTGCTGGTGGTTTGTCACTGTCTGACCGGGGCGAGTCAGAGGACAATTAGAAAAAATAATCAAACACGAGCGAAGAGGCACGAGGCCACCGGGCCACAGATCTCACACACTCATGCGAAATCACACAAAAAAGTACACATGCACCAAATGGAGGAGTAGCACATGGAGGAAAAAAAGAAACCACCCTGGTCTCTGGCTGTGAGCAGACAGTGTGGACGGTGTGCAGAGCTGACCGCAGCCACTGAGATGAGCCTCCTCTTATTCTGTGGTCAGAAAGGGGGAGAGTTTAGACTAATAAGACGTATCACTGGGCTGACTCACAGGCACACAAACACACGGTGTTGACCAATCCAACCAGTGGCATTCTAGGCATATTTAACAGCAGCTGAGCAATGCCAACGTCAACAGCGTGCAGTGGTAAATGCTTCTCCCCAGTGCTGCTTCTAATTGGTCCAAACTGGGCTCCCACAGGCCTCATGCTGCCTTCTGGGCCCATTCCCTCTGCCAATGCAAATAAACCCGCCTCCCAAGATGCAAAATATTTGCTTCCCTGGCCAAGGGGGAATTTCTTTTTCCATGCTAAGGACAATACAATTGAATTAATGTAGCGATTGCCTGATTGATTTGTGACTGAGGAGCTCCAGGTGGCCTCACCTCCTGCTGCGTTCCGTGCCTTTGCAGAGAGAGCTCTCTGATCTGCTCGTTTAGTCTCTTCTCTGAAATCTCCCTGGAGCTCAGAGACTCCTCAAAGCACGAGCGCAGCTGCTGTAGCTCTGTCTGCAGGCTAGCCACTGTATCCTGCAAGGAAAAGGGGACATATGGCATGTTAGAACTAGGACTGTCCCTTACATAAAAACGAGTCAGTCTTAGTGTTCTTGTATGACTAAGATTTAGTTAGTTGACTACTTTCATTTATTTCTTTATTTGTGTATTTACTTATTTATTCATTTTCAGAAATGAGCTTGTAAAGGTTTCTCTGGCACTGACTGCACTGTATCTGTCATAGAAGAGCAAGGTGGATGTAACATGGGAAAAAAAAATGAAAAAAATATATGTAGGCATACAATTCCAAGAAGGTGGATTGAACATTAAGTATGTAAGAGGAGCTGTCATGCAAAGTTGTAGTCAGGTATGCTTACAAAGTACAATAAAAGCTTCTGTTTAAGGTGCAAAGTTAGTTTTAAGCTATACATTCCAACATTTTCTAATACTAAAGTACTGAGCAAAAGTCCAGTCCAAATTCCGGTGAAAATGGCCATTAAGTACAATTTATAATTGATTTTTTTGGAGATATTTCTGAGGAGGTTCTATGAGATAATACACTTCTGTAAGGAAAGTGAAGTCAAAGTAAAATAAGTGAAAAACCAACCATGCAGGACCTGGTAGACCACCAAAACTAAACATAAACAGTGTTTAAAGCTTTCATCTTTGAGAGGGGGGAGATAATCAAGCTCCACTCTCACTTCAGATCTGAAATAATCAGGCGTTTCTGTCCACCCTTCCACTGTGAGAAAAAAACACTATGGGTCTGAAAGGATGTGTGGCTGTCAAGAAGCCATTTTCAATCAAACATAGAAGCTGCTGGTGTTCTCAGAACTGTTGACTGATCACCCCAGAGTCCAGACCTCACTGAATGTGTTCTGGATTAACTTCATTGTGAGAAGCAAAAAACGCAACCAACTCCTAAGACTTTTTAACTTTGGAGCTGTGGGATAATATCCCTGCAGATTTCTTTAAAAAACGGAAAGCAAGTTTTCCAAAAAGAATGGAATCTTTATAAAGGCAAAGTCAAAATTTGATGTCATATTTAGTTGTTCAGGCTTCTGTGTAATTTTCTGTTAAATATATGTTTTCTGCTTTTTTTCTGAAAAACTTGCACGTGATGGCTGTTTTTACTGGAAATGAAATAATAAGGGTGATCTCTGACTTTTTCATGGTACTGCATATTATTGATTTATTTCATTTTAGCTTGCTTTTAGTTGATAATCAGTCCTTTGTGTCTGCTAAGATAATCCGTAGTTAGGAGCGGTTTTTATGCTGTGACAAACGGAGTGCAAGTATGGCACTGGATGAAGTCTTGTACCTTGTCCTGTTCCTGTTTGCTCATGAAGTCTCTGCGCATGCGCTCTGTCTCCAGGGCACTCATCTCCATTTCTCTTTGCAATGTGAGAATGCGTTCGTTCAGAGCTGTCTTTTCTGCCTCCTTCTCTGAAAGTGCCTGCCCAGGAAATAACAGCAATGTGATCACATTACGACACCCAGGTGAGGCCTAAATCAAAGCCTTTCATTTATAAGCACAGAGCAGACTGTCGCTGTCATAAGAAAACTTTGCATCTACACAGTTGTAGGAGAAGGAAAAATAATTTTAACATCTGACATTTTATATGAGTTAAATAAACTGAAAGGTCTGCTTTTCTAGATTTCTGTAGATCTATTTGGCATTAAATACACAATACATATTAAGTACGCAACATGAAGGAAGGCTGGCTTCTTGAAATCGGATAAAAAAAGTAGAAACTGGAAAAAAAACAAAATTGGAGCAATGAGATCCTAACCCAGTGATTCCCAAACTACTGTTTAATCTTCAGTTTAAAACCTGATTTCAAACAAAATGTGCAGGGAAGGATACTCCAGGACCAGGTGTGGGAATCACTGGCCAAAATCCCAAATCTGGTCCTGAATGTCCACTGCCCTGAACATTTTCTTTCATCATTTTGCTGCTCCAACATACCTGCTTTTAAATCAGTAAGGGCTTGTTAAAGGAGAATTCCAGTAATTTTACAAATGTCTGCATATTTAACTTATTTAGATGTAAACAAATTCATTCAGAGTGGTTTGATGTGAAATGAATTATTGTAGAGAAACTCTTAACAGAAATTTCTTTACAGTGGTGTGATAGGAACCAGGGGTTGCGGTGTCTACAATGCAAATATAGACATTTTATTTACCATTCAAAACAATAAACCTGCATGTGCTCCCTGAGCTTTTACATGCAATGATGATAATGATAGCATGGGGTGAATCTAAAAGTTTAGGTTTTCTTTGGGTATTATTTTACACTCCAGTGCTCTGCATGTATCTCACCATCATTGAAAGTATTTAAAAATTATGTTTTAGACCAAAATTTATTCCAAAACTATTGTAAAACAATGTTTCAGGCATTACTTTCTGTGAGGGAGACTTAAGAGGCATTAAACACTTCAGAGATATGGTTCCTATCACCACCACTGTGAACAGTTCTCTACAGTGGAGCATTTCATATCAAACCTCTGAATTATTCTGTTCACATCTTAACCATTTAATTACGCAAACATCTTAACAAAACGGTGTGATTCCCCTAGAGTGAGCTGATTAGTTACAGCAGTTGTCTTGGGAGCAAGCTGAATACTAAAGTGTGCAGAGCAGTGGGCCGCCAGAACCCAGGAGTTTGCAACCACTGGCCTAAAGAACTGCAAGGGTAACGACTAAAGTAAATGACTACATTTTCTTTATTTCTTTATGTAAGTATACCTAAAGTCGTACTAAAAGACAAACATAAAACACTTTGAAGTTGAACAGGTTCATTGATATTCTTACAAATACACATACATTCACATACATAGATACACACCTGCTGTTTGTGGCCCTCAGCCTGCAGCAGGCTGTCTTTGCCGTCCTGCTGCACTTTGGCCAGCTCATCCTGCAGCTGCTGAAGCTCAGTGCGGCTGCGCACCCGCAGCTCCTCACAATCCGCACGCAGCTGCTCTTCAGCCTGCTCCCGCTGCGCAGTCAGCGCCAGCCTCACACACTCCTAAAGCAGGGCAGGTGCACAGGGCTCAGATTAAGCTCAATCATCCAGCAAAATCTCCATGCTTTACTACGGAATTCTCTAACTGGGATATGAAGTACAGGTTAGTGTTCTCCCTGCTGTAACACACCTCATTTAACTGATGAGCTGACTCAGGTGTGTTGGAGCACAGAAAGCACTAAACTATATAGTGTTGTGACCCACCAGGAGTTTGCAAGGTCATAATACTATTTAAACCTCTTTTTGCAGCCCCTCTGGTGGCCATTCCACTGGCAGGATTGGAAATCAACTTTGACACCCTTAATTAATATCAAATAAATCAAATAAAACTCTGACAAGACACTGATAAGACACTGCTGGCTCTCTGTGAGTAAAATGTTGTGACTCTGTGTTTAGCCGCTAGCGAGCAACGAGGTTGTGAAAGGGAGACGTGAGAAGACCCTGCTGTAAAAATAATTCACTTCTCTCCACAAAGATGCCGTGCCAAGATAACAGTACAGCACAACAGTATGGACAGCACAACTGTAGCTTTCTCCCTAACAAAATTTGCAGAAAACTGCCAGAATAAAAAAATAACATTTAAACACAACAATAACACTTTTTTTTTACTTATTTAACTTATTTATCACTGAAACCTTCACATTAAGTACAATGTGTTTTTGCAGATCAAAAGAGGTAAAGTAAAAGTGATAAAGTTATTATATTTCTATTAGCCAGTGTGACTCAAAGACTCAGATACCTGGCAACAGCCTGTGGTGCTAAAGAAGTTTAACAAACAGCAAAAGAAGTTCCATCAACATGGGATCTACTATGAGCTCTAAATGGCTTTGTGTGTGTAAAAGGCCTTACAGCTTCGTCACTCCTCTCTGGTGCAAATAGAAACTGTCCTAGATATACAGACTGTACAACTGCGAATAACCCACGGTATTAAATAATGAAAAAAAATCTATATTTATTGACAGTTTTACATTTTAGTGATTTTTCAAAACTGCCTATCATCCCAGTCTTAAAAAATCAGAATTAATCAATAAGGCTTGTCATATAAACACAGTCTTAGTCATAATGCTTAGGACAGGTAGTCATACAGGTTTGGTAAAATGTGGGCCAGTTTAGTTCTGTATGCATTGAGTTTGCTGTACAACACTGGTGTAGTTTGGATTTGCATTGCTGTGACAGTGAGTCATGAGCTCACATGAACAAGTTTTCTGTTCTTCCTTCTGTCTTCCATTTATTTTCAGATGGACACAACAAAAAAAAATCATAAAATATGTGGTTACACTTGAGAATTTCATTTGTTTAGAAACAAATTTTGGTCTTACAAAATTGCTAATAGCCTGCTTAGCTACTGAAACGCTGCTAATTTCATAGAGCTAATGTGAGCAAACCTTACCCAAGGTTAGTAAATGGATCGTGTTACTAGTATGCTGTACTAGCACGTCATGCTAATATTTATCATAATCATCAATTACAGGCGTTTTTAATCAGCTGTCTATTTTTACCTCAAATCATATTGACACGTCTGTAACCGACTGTATGAATCCTGTGGTGGTCTCCATAGAAATGGACAAAAATGAACCAATTAAAATTGGTTTTCTACCTGACTGGTGAGGCATCTTAGAATAAAAATATATGTCTATATTTATATTATATGTGGCTATATGTCAAAAACACATCTTTAGAAGTTTGTTTGCAGAAACAGCCTAAAAAAGTCAGTATACAGTGTATACTGGTAGATTATGGCAGATTATGGCAGTCAACGTAAGTGTTAGACACTATTACATTATGGGTTCTGTAATTCAGAGAATGTAAGAGGGTCACAGTGGTACCTTGTCTTTGCGCTCAGCTTCCAACTGCTCCTGATGGCTCTGCTGAGCAGCAGTGAGCGATCGCTGGGCATTTCTCTCAGCCTGGGCTAGCTTCAGCTCTAGAGCCTGTCTCTCCTGAAGAGCCAGGGACACCTGTTGCACCAGCTCACTCTGGACACGAGACACCTCACCTGTACATACACACATTTGCAAGTTACACAAACCCCCTCAGCAGAAATGTACTGAAACACATGGTCCTCAGATCCAGATGCTGGGAAAATATGAAATCATAATGCTCACTTGAATTATCATTACACGATACATAGTGACAGTGCTGACACATAAATAGTATATAATGTGGATGCTCTCCGCACTGAGCTTGGGAGGAGAGAGCCGCTGACCCTTTAGGCCAGCTGTTCCCAAGCCCTGGGCTGAAATATGGGCCCCGCGTGGGCTGTTGGAGGGGCCCGTGGCTGGACAGCCCAGCCCAGCCACAGCTCGAGGGGAGGAGGCCCCCCAGGGACGCACTCACGTGTCAGAGCCTCATTAGCCTGCTGAAGGCTGCCTCTCTCTCCCTCCAGCCGGGCACGATCTGCCTCCAGCGACGAGATCTGCTCCTGCCCATCGAATACAGCAGACTCCAGGGACTCCCACTCCGCACTGACAGAGAGAGAGAGGCAGAGAGAGGCAGAGAAGAGGGGGAACAGTTTGAGATTGGTGCAAAGTGCTTTTGCTTGACAGAACTGTACATTCCTAGCACTTTACATTCAGGATCCAACTTAGAGTGATGGTTGAGCCAAAAATCAAATATGCACACTTTTCTTGCAGTAGCATCTCAGCCAAGACGTTTAGTGACTGAAGTTAGCTTCTCTTACTTAGCTACAATATTACTCAGTTACAAAACTGCACTCAGAAAAAAGGTACTAAACTCTGACTGGGTTGGTGCCCCTCTTGTAACTGGGTTGGTATCTTCAAGGGCACATCTTTAGTCCTTTAGTTAGGGAACATAATTCTGATATAATTCATTGTAATTATATTTTTAAACTTATATTATATATATAACTTGCATTGTTTGTACCTTGATAAATAAAAAAAATGTACCTGCACAGTACAAAAGTAAAAAAAAAGGTACTGTGTAAAAAAGTCATAGACCACCCTTAATTTATTTAATTTCCAGGCAAAATGGCCATTACGTACAAGTTTTACATAAGAGATACTTCTGAGATTAGGTATAAGATAATGCACTTGCATAAGGATAGATAATGCTAAACGAGATTATGTAGAAAAAAGTAGCTACCAAAACTGTTCAAATAATTACAAAAGATGTGACTCCTAACAATTGTGCAAGTCCTGCTAGACCACTAAAACTGTCACCATCATATAATCAGTACTTAAAGCTTTCATCTTTGACAGATAGAAGAAAATAAAGCTCCACTCTTGCTTCAGATCTTAAAAAAGATTGGGTGTTTCTGTCTATCCTTGCACTGTGAGACGACAACTCTCTGAGTCTGAAAAAATGTTAACGGTCAAAACGCTGTTACTGAGAAAAGAAAATAGACAAAAAAGAATAATAATAAAAAAAAAGCATAAGCAAAAAAAAAGACATCGCTGGTTTCATTAGAACAATGGACTGTGGAACAATGGAAAGTGAATTACCTGGATCATGCGCAGAAAATGCAACCAACATCTAAGATTAAACTGGTGTGGAAAAACATCCCTGCAGAGAAACTGAACACAAGTCTACTGAAAAGAATAAAAGCTGTAATAAAGACGAAGTGTGGACACTCATGGTTTTACATAAACAATTTATAAAAATTCATATTAAAATTCATAACTTTTAACTTGCCATTTTTACTGGAAAATCAATAAAGGGTACCAAACATATACAGGCCAATCAACCACGTTTGGGATGAGTGGAAAATTGTGCAAATTTGATATTTGGCTGAACCATCATCTAAATCTTTGTTCACAGACGAGAACGAGAGAAATAAATCTGAAAATAATCCTTCCTTTTATGTGTACTGTGAACACTCAAAATTTGTCACTGCTTGGCAGTTGCTGGGACCAGCATCACTCAGAAAGAAGTGAGGGATAGTGTGGTCACAATCCAAACGGCAGAAAGCATGTCTGACCCCACCTCAGTGTTTGACTGATGAGGCTCATGGTCATTAGGAAGAGTTTAATAATTAAAAAGGAGCTATTGATTACGGTGCAAAGCCCTGGTAAAAAACACAGGTGCTTCACATTGCCTGCCAGCCCCAGAATCCAACACAAATACAAACACTTAATCCACATTCACTTACTAAAACCCACACAGACTAATACACAAACACACTCGCTCACCGAAGAGCGGCCAGCTCCTGGGCCAGCGCTTTGGCTTTTCGCTGTTCTGTGGTGAGCTGGACAGCGAGACTGGCCTTGTCCTTGGCCAGCTCCTCTCTCTCTCTGCCTGTCCGCTGCAGCGAGGCAGCCTGGAGCTCGGCTTCTCTCTGACAAACACTCAGCTGCTCCAGCGCTCCCTGCTTCTGCTTACTCACCTACACATACACAGACACACATACAACTCATATATATGAACATGCTGACATGAAAACATTTACACTGTTTAGTCAAATTCAGTTATTATTCAAATCCAAGCCAAGGTCAGATTAAATTCTGTGAACCCTCTTCACGAGCAGACAAAATACTCACTGATATGTGAATATAAATCAAATCACCACTCGAACCCTAGGAGTTTGTTAATGTGTCAGTCAATGTCAGTCACTGGACTAAAGCCATAAATGACCACATAGGAACTGGGCCAAACTGTTTATTTCATGCAGCCAAACAGCAGGTTGTCCAAATATTTTCCTGAAACATGAGACTTGTCCCTACTGAGCGTGTAATGAAGCATTTGCTATCAAGCAGGAGGAAAGTTTACATGAATTGCCAAGCTATCCACCTGAAATTTACAGCGAAAAGGCCGGAGGAATCTTTAGTTGCAGCCAAAAAGTGTCAGTTAAAGCTAAAACTTATATTGCTATATATTTTCACTACATGTAAACACAACCTCTCTAAATATTAATGTACCGTTTCTTTTATATTTGATTACCTTAAAAAAAAAAGTAATCGTGGCATGTGCAGAAGTTTGGACACCCTATTAAGTTAATACTCCTTTGGCAGCCATCATAGTTTGCAAATGGAAGAGTCTTTCTATTCTGTTCCAATTCTGCAATTTTCTTGGGCTGTCTGGCTCGCGTAGCATGTTTAGTCAGGGGACTGTGAGAGCCAATCCAAAAGCTTCAGCCTGCATTTCCTGAAGTAGTTCATTTTGGATTTTAAGGTATGTTTTGGATCATTGTCCTGTTGTATTCACCGCCAGTTTTTGGACTGACTTTGGCACATTTGCTTCCAAAATTTGCTGCTATTTAGCAAAATCCATTTTTCCATCTGTCCATGCAATGTTTCCTGCGCCACTGGCTGGCACACAACCCCAAAGCCTAATAGCTCCAAGCCCATGCTTAACAGCTGGCAAGAAATTCTTTTCATCAAAAGCTGCTCCCTTTTTTCTCTAAACATACATTGTTTAGCTCATCTAAATGTTGTTTAGCATACTTTTACATTGACTTTTGTGATGAAGTCGCAGGTACATTTTCCTTCAGGTGACTTTTCCATGCAGATGTTGTGCAACAACACGGCACTATAGAATGGTGCACCACCACTCCTATGTCAGCTAAATCTTCCCACAGGTCCTTTGCTGTCATATGGGGATTTTGCTTTGCCTTTCCATCTGAGAATGATGCCCTGACTCCCACTGTTCCCCCTAACTGCCATTGCTTAATGATATTTTGGACAGCAGAAATAGCCAGCTGAAAGCACTTTGATATCTTTTTATAGCCTTCCTCTGCCCTGAAGGCATCAATTAGCTTATTTTCAGATCCTCCACCAGCTGCTTAGAGGAGCTCATTATTGTTAAGTGTTAGCAAAAGGTTTAAAATGTCAAATAATTTATTATGCTTTGGAACTCATCAGCTGACATTTCATGATAATTCTTGATCTGCCTAGCCAATCCTAATGAGTCAATTGAGGCCAACAAGTTAATCAAGTTCTGAAAATGTATAACTGTCCAAAGGGTGTCCAAACTTTTGCACATGCTCAAATTACAATATACTATTTTTAAGTTATTCAAATATAAACTAGCTGTACATTTACACTTGCAGAAAAAATGTTATTTCCTAAAACAGTTTGTCACAGAGGTTGTGTTTACTTCTAAATAGAGATGATCATTTATATATCAAAATACTTTTTATAAAAGAAAAAAGGTCAGTGTGAGTTAACCTAGTTTTACTCTAGAACATCAGTTCAGGAATTATGCCTTACTGTCTCGCACACAACTCACTGTCTGTCCTACAGACAAAAGATCAAGCTGCTAATTTACGGCTCTCCTCACTCGTCTCCTCTCGCTGCAATATTACCCGTCTGTAATATCTATCTATGCTGTCTTCCTCTTTTTCTTTCACACTTAAGAGCCCCTCTACTCCCCCCTTCCAATTCCTGAAAGGCTAATAAAACACACGCTTGGGCCAAGACTCATACTCATAGCCCTCGGAGAAAGGTGTTGAGTAGCGTGGCAGATGCGTCCAATATCTCCCCTCGGCTTTTTAATGTGACTACGAGACGCAGCGGAGTGCAGCTGAGGGCTGTGAATCACACCGGCTCAAGGGCCGTGCACCCAGGTGCTCGGGGCAGGGGAGAGGGGTTGACCTGGGCCAGCTGCTCCAGAGCTGAGCTCTTCTCCCTCTGCACCATGGTCAGCTCTGTGTCCAGGCTCGCGCGGGCCTCCTGGAGGAGCACATGTGAGGCCTCCAGAGCTCGCTTTTCAGCACTAACATCCATCAGCTCCTGCTGCATGTGGGCAAGCTCCTCCCTGGCAGCCACCCGCTCAAGCTCCGTCTCTCGTTTTCGCTCGCTAAGCTCCACCTTCTCCGCCTCCACCTTAGAGCAAACATCAGAGGTCGGTTATTAGTGTCGATCTGGAAAATTACAGTCAGTATGTATTCACTGTAATGGTTTGCAGTGTACTGAAACTGTAATGCAGGTAAAAACAGGCAATCATCATTTTAGCCATTATAAAATATTGTGCCATATTAGCTACATCAGTGGGTAGATGTTAAGATACGTTACAAGAGAAAAGTGTTTCAGACCTGTAGCAGCAAACGATTCAGCTCCACCTTGTCTTTAGCCAGTCCTTCACTCAGGGCGGCCATTTTGGCGAAGGAGTCTCTGAGTCCTGCCTCCTCGCTCTGTAGTTTGGTGAGCGCCAACTCCTGCTCTGAATTCTGGGCCTCTGCCTACAGGGAGAGGAACAGTGTTAAAACAGAGTCTAGCTATGTCAAATTTCCTTATAGGAACGTCTGGCCACACAGTGGCCATCTTGGCAATGCTCCTGGACAGTTATTTCCAGTCATACAAGACCAGACTGCTGTATCTTTAAATGGAGAGAGACCTATAAAACTTAAACTGAAAGCCACATTAACATTGCAAAAACATTAACATCGGACAAAAACAGTATAAATAGTTTGTAGTGCTTAACTAAAAAACATATTTTTTCAGGTTGCTCCAGCTACTGTGCCTGGGCAAATCTCCACATCAAGGGGAGACTATTCCTCATTCAATCAAGCAAGCTGATTGGCTCTTTTTACTGAAGGGTGGGAAAATCAAAGAAAACGTCCCCTTAATTGGAATTTCCTAATTGGAAAGTTAGGATATTGTTCTCAACTCTGAGCTCAGCATATGACGTCAAATCAACATGGCTGCTCACACTGCCAACAGTAATAAAGAGCCACTTCTCTACTTTTAAATGATATTTGCTTTAGATCAATCAACATACATAGTAACTGGTTGCTTCTATAACACTTTCACAGTAGGGAGAGAGTTGAGCATCGTGACAGCCTGGTGGATGAAGCTGTCCCCCATCCTGCTGGTCCTGGCCCGGAGACACCGCAGTCTCTTCCCTGATGGCAGCAGGCTGAAGAAGCTGTGTAGTGAGTGAGTGGGATCTAGCCTGGTCACTACACTAGCTGTGTAGTGGGTCACTAGATCTAGCCTGTTATAACAATACTCGTTTGTTTTTACCACATTGTAGCTTGAATGTGCGATCGAAAAAAGATACATTTCCGAGCTCCAACTGTCTACTTCCAAGCCAAGTCCACTGTAGCATTAATCCTTAAGGCTTTCCATTCATTTTTCAACCAATGAGCTGTCTCTTCCTTCTTTATAATGTCTTTGGCTATGTTCAATAGGACAGGAAAGTGCAGACCAGGAGTTTTTTGATAATTAATTGAATTAAAGCTAGAATTTTTGTGAAAAAGTGATTTAATGACCAAATAAGCACAGTCTTTAGGAAAACAATATAACAGCAGAACATTTTGCTGAGCTGTGTAACTGTGAAGGTTAAAATACAATTAAACTTTGAAACTATGATACCGGAGCTACTTTGTAGGATGTGAGATATACAGTTAGTTCCAAAGACACAATCTGATTGGAGATTGGAGAAACATTTTACATGTGCTAATATCACCAATATCCAGCTTTTTTTCACAATTACCGTTTCTGGTTGCTCAGTAACAATTTGCTTTATGCAGATAAAAGTTACCAACAGAAAATGGTCACATTAGATAACTTCTAAAAGAAACAATGGAACCAGCAGCTCATTTGGTCAGATTCTTAAGTACAGAACGACAGCAGACCTCCATCAAATTCTGAACCTGTCATTGCCACGTTTTTTGGTCAGCAGCTGTGAGGGCAGAACAACTAGACAATCTGGAGCCAGCAATAAACAGAATACAATTTGGCAAGCAAGATGGGCTGTGAAATGCTTTGCAGCCTGGCTAGAACAAAACAACATTCTGGTTAATCTGGCAAATATTTAAAAAGCTGATATTGTGAAAATGTTATGGCTCTAACCGTAACAGACTTTTTCAAAGTCTGTTGTTTCCTACAGACTTCAACAATACATCACAGCGACAACACAATACAATAAGTAACTACTACAAAATAGGACTACACACAAGACGAGATAATATTACATACATACACCAATTAGGCATAACATTATGACCACCTCCTTGCGTGGTCTGTGTGAACCCTATAGAATTTTCTATATTTCTGCATAAATGTGGCCTAAAACTTAATCAGATTTTCACATAAGTCCTAATAGTAGATAAAGAGAACCACATTTAACAAATGAGGCAAACATATTAGACTCTATTAATATTAGACTCTATTATATTAATCCTGCACATCGGCTTGGTGGAATTTCAGCCCATTCCTCCGTACAAAACAGGTTCATCTCTGTTATGTTGGTAGGTTTCCTGCCATGGACTGCTTGTTTCAGGTCCTTTCACAACATTACTGGAGGACTAAGCTCAGGACTTTGACTTGGCCATTCCAAAACATTAACTTGATCCTTTTTTAACCATTATTTGGTAGAACGACTTGTGTGCTAGGTCATTATCTTGCTGCATGACCCACATTCTCTTGAGTTTCAGCTCACAGACAGATGACCTGATATTTTGTCCTGTCCTGGCCCAGATGCAGCAGAACAGGCCCAAACCACGATACTACCACTGCCATCTCTCACAAATAGGATAAGATTTCTGCTGGGACGCAGTGTTTTCCATTCTCCAAACATTTGTTTAATTTGGTTCTCTTTATCTACTATTAGGACTTGTGTGAAAACCGGATGACAAAATGTGACAAGTGTACTTGGTAAAGTGACCGTGCATTTTCAAATGAGATAGTATATGTAAGTTCATCATAGAACAGCACGTTACATTCCAGCAGAATACTAACAATAGAAATACAGTTGTATGTTAAAGTGAACATTAGTGTCTACTGCAGTTTAAAAAGCAGATGTAAGTTATAAGGAATAAATGTGCAGAAAGTAAAGTTCAGATAATATAATAAGAAGTTTGAATTATAAAGTGATTTACTGCATACTGAGCCACCCGATGGCCCAAAAAAAATAAATCAATAAATAAATAAACAAATTTTAAAAACTGTTTTTCACTTTTTACTCACTGACGACTGTCCCGTACTATCACCCTGATGGAAGGAAGGATAAAAGTGTGTGTGCAGGATGACTGGTGCCCTTTAGGAAGGTGGGCTGCCATACTGACGCAGCCTTATTAGCCTGTGAGGATTGACAGAGGTGCCCCACCCCCCCACCGCCCTCCAAAGATGTCACAGGCCCCTTGCCTCATTTCATTTGTTTTAGCAGAACCTATCACAATAAGTGCCAAATTTTCATAATAACCCATATGTCATAGCTCCATAATTCCTACTCTTACTTTCACCATGCTTTCATCTCTAGCATGCAGCACGCTGTGAAAATGAATATAAGTTACACGACTACATATTAATACACTGTTTGTAAGTGACACAGCTGTAATGTTTTTTGCTTCTATAGATAGAAGGGGAACATAGCACGCATAATAGACACTGGACCACTTCGTTCTTCACCTTCACTTTCAAGTTAAACCTTTTAAACGTTTCAGTGAGAGAACATGATAACAAAAACAGAGGGTATGCTATGTATGAGGGAAATCTAAAAAATGCTAACATTTGCAGAAAGATATGGGCTTTTGTTTAGATCTGAGAACCGTGGCTTCTATAGAATAAACTACCTTTCTGATAACAGCTTTAGCACTCCACCTTGACACACTGTCTTTCTTGCCATTTTTGAAAGCCTATTTTTTTTCTTCACATCTTCCTTTGAATTAAAAACGAAAGACTTGTGATATAGGTATAACACTCTATGAATGATTACATAGAGAGGCCCAGTGAAGGGGTGACATGCATTGCTGTACCTAAATCTAGTATTTAATTATTATTTAATCAATTAATATTTCAATTACAAATCTTTCTGTAAGCCTAAAATTAACAAGCAAAGGAAAAAAAAGGTGCAGGAGTGATCTGTAGTCATGATTGAAAACAGAGTAGAGCTCAACACACTGACTTGGTTACCAGTGCTAAGAATGAGTGTGGATGAGATGCTGAGGTCTACCTGTGAGAAAGCTCAGTATCCAGTACCACAGGGCCATACTTAGTCCCAGATCCAGAAGCTTAGTGAAAAGTTTGCATGGGACAACAGTTTGGAATGTTGAGCTTTAATCTACAAACAATCGCCTAGCATAACAGTCTTTATTGTCCAGGTGTGCCAGAGGATGTGGCATCCTCTGTAGATCTGTTATGGTCATAGGTAAAATGGACAGGGTCCACTGTATTTGGGAATTATCTTTTAAATGTACCCCATTTCAAAGCTCTTCTGTGCCATGCAACTTAATCTGCTCTTCTTTGTTAATAACACTGTTTCTCAGAGCTGCATTTATTTGATATGTAAAACACATCAACTATCTTTTGAACATGAACACAAACCAATAAGAATTTAGCTCAGACACTAGTTGTGTTTTATTGTTTCTCTGATTAAATCAATAATAAGCATTTACTAATTCTACATACACTCTAAATGTGCTCACAGCTGACTTACCAGCATTCAGTATTTTCCAAACTAACAGAATTTTACAATGACATTTCACAAGGCTCGTAACCCCACGTTACCCTGAGTTATATGGGTTGCCGTTGCAAATCTCTGTGATGAAAAATTTTACAGATGCATTCTTGCGTGGAAAACATCAAACACTGCAAATAAGTAGGAGCTGCATAGCCAATTCAAGGTCAAAGTAAACACTGCTTCCAGTAATTCAGCAACGAAGCTGGCATTTTGACAGGAGAAAAAAAACGCTATTTACTCAGTGGATAAATAATGCATAAAAATCTGCATAAACACAGTTTTATGACTTATGAGTGTATTTTACAGTGGGAGAACACAGGTGAGAACAGTTCTAATCCAAACTGAGAACATGTGTTAGTGTGGATAATGGTCTTGAGTCAGTCAGACAGTAGATGAGCAAGCAAGTCAGTCAGCATGCATGGGTGTGTGTGTGTGTGTCAGTATGTACAGTACTCTGCAAAAAATCAGATCAAAGATCTTTATTTATTTAATTTCCAGTCAAAACAGCCATTACGAGCCATTATGAACAACCTTTGTTCATTTCTTAGCATATATTTAACAGAAACTTACACAGAAGCCCCAGAAACTAAAAATAATATAGAATCTTTAGTATTTAGTCCACACTTTACCTTTTTTACAACTACCATTCTTTTTAGGAGACTTGCTCTCAGCTTTTCAAAGAAATCTGCAGGAAATTTTTCTACACCTCAAAAGTTCAGCCTTAGAAGTTGAGTGCATTTTTTGCTTCTTGCGATTCCAGTAATTCCAGACACATTCAGTGATGTTTGGATCTGGACTCTAAACCCATTGTTTTGAGAACACCAGTAGCTCCTTCACTTGATTTGCAAATTTTCTTATTTCCTTTTCTCAGTAACTGCTTCTCAACAGCTACACACTCTTTCAGACCCATAGTGTTGAGTTGTCTTCTTACAGTGTAAGCACTGAAGCAGTTTTCGCCAATTTCTTAAAGATGAAAGCTTTAAGTACCATTTGTTTGATGGTGACAGATTTGGTGATCTACCAGGGCATGCACAATTTCTCTACATTTTTAATAATGTTTTTAATTTCCTCAGAAATAAATAACTGTTACTTGACAAAAAAATAAATAAATGAAGTGTAGTCTCTTGACTATTGTATGCTTGTGAGTGTATGGATGAGCAAGTATGGGTATGTGTGTGTGTGTTTATGTGTTCTAGGCCTGCACAATATGGACATGCAATGTTTGATAAACTTTGTTGATATCTTCGTTGACATCACAGTGATGAGAAGAAGAAATACACGATACAGCAAAAAGTATGTGGACATCCCTCCTAATTACTGAGTTCAGGTGTTTCAACAGGTATATAAATTCAAGCACACAGCCATGCAATCTCCATAGACAAACACTGGTAGGAGAATGAATCATACTGAAGAGCTCAGTGACTTTAAACATGGCACCTTTGCAACAACTCAGTTTGGGAAAATTGTGCCCTGCTAGATCTGCCCCAGACATCTATAAGTGCTATTATCATTATTAAATGGAATGCAGCTCAGCTGAAGTGGTAGACCATGCATACTCACAGAGTGGAGCCACCAATTGCTAAAGTGCGTAGTGCATAAAAATGACATATTCTCTGTTGCATCACTCACTACAGAGTTCCAAACTGTCTCTGCAAGCAACATCAGCACATGAACAGTGTGTTGGGAGCTTCATAAAATGGGTTTCTAGCTGCAAAAGCCTAAGATCACTATGCACAATGACAAGCTGGAGTGTCACAAAGCATGCCACCACCGGACTCCAGAGCAGTGGAAATGTTCTCTGGAGTGATGAATCATGCTTGATGAATCTGGGTTTGGTGGAATGCGCAGTACCAACAGTGCCAACAGACTCGAATTTGTCTTTTGTATGATGTGTAATTTAACAGAAATCTAACTAATTTGTCATTCATTAATGTGCACTGTGCAAAATACAACTAATGAAACGTTAATAGCTACATAATGATGATATATAGGCTATATATTTCATTTCTATATAGACCTACAAAAAGAAATAAAAAAAAAGATTTAAATATGATGCAGCCCTAACACGCGTGTATGTGTTAGGGCTACACAGTATAGTTTGTAGTTGTTTTATTGTTTGTTAAGGCTTGCAATATTGTCTTTGAGCTGAGCAAAGTCAGATGTTCCAGATGAGTGTCTGTGGGTGTTTTGATCAATGAAGGGATTCACATGATTCAATAATGGTAGCTAATTTAGTCAAAATAATGTAGGCTTTAATCTTAGACTAAGGCGTTAAGGTGTTTCAGTACACAGTAGTATGCAAATGTTTGGGCATCCCTGGTCATACTATATGTTTTGTTGATTTTCTAAGTAAAAATAAATTAACATCCTCTACGGAGAATACACTACCACACATTTTAATGCAGAATTACTGTTTATTTGCTGAGTTTAACAAAGGATATGACACATTTTATATATAACCCCATTTCCAAAAAATTTGGGACGTTGTGCAAAATGTATATAAAATGCACACCCACACACACACATTTTCTAAGCCACTCATCCTTCTGATGTGCAAATCATTTAAATCCTATATTTCATTGAAAATAGTACAAAGATGATATATTAGATGTTGAAACTGAGAGATCTTATTGTTTTTTAAAAAAATATGTGCCTATTTTGAATTTGTTGCCAACAACACATTCCAAAAAAATTTGGGACGGGGGAAACAAAAGGCTGGGAAAGTAATGCTAAAAAAACCACATGGTGGTTGATTGGCGACAGGTCAGTAACATGATTGGGTGTAAACAGAGCATCCCAGAGAGGCTGTGTCTTTCAGAAGTTAAGATGAGGAGGGGTTCACCACTCTGTGAAAGAGAGCAAATATTGCAACAATTCAAGAATAATGTTACTCAACATAAAATGGCAAAGAACTTTTGCTTTTCATCATCTACAGTACATAAAATCATTAAAAGATTCAGAGAATCTGGAGAAATCTCTGTATGCAAGGGACAAAGCCAAAAAACAGTATTTGCTGGCCATGATCTTTGGGCCCTCAGGCAGTACTACGTTAAAAACAGACATGATTCTGTAGTGGAAATCACTGCATGGGTTCAGAAACACTTCTGAAAACCACTTTCTGTGAAAACACTTTGTCGCTGCATCTACAAATGCAGATTAAAACTCTAAAACACAAAGAAGAAACCATATATAAACAGGATCTAGAAACACTGCTGCCTTCTCTGGGCCCGAGCTCATTTCAAATGGACTGAGGGGAAGTAGAAAAGTGTCCTGTGGTCCAACAAATCAACATTTGAAATTATTTTTGGAAATCATGGACACTATGTCCTCCAGGCTAAAGACCACTCAGCTTGTTATCAGTGCACAGTTCAAAAGCCAGTATTCATGATGGTATAGGAGTGCATTTGTGTGCATGGTATGGGTGACGTGCACATCTGTGAAGGCACCATTTATGATAAACAATATAAACAGGTTTTGGCAACATATGCTGCCATCCAGATAACGTCTTTTTCAGGGAAGGCCTTGTTTATTTCAGCAAGACAATGCCAAACCACATTCTGCATGTATTGCAACAGCATGGCTCCATATTAAAAGTCTGGGTGCTAAACTGGCCTGCCTGCAGTCCAGATCTGTCACCCACTGAAAACATTTGGCACATTATAAAATGAAAAATACGATAAATGAGCCCCCGAACTGTTGAGCAGCTGAAATCCTATATCAAACAAGAACGGGAAAACATTTCACTTTCAAAACTACAGCAATTGGTCACCTCAGTTCCCAAACGCTTACAGAGTGTTGTTAAAAGAAGAGGTGATGAAACACAGTGGTAAACATGACACTGTCCCAACTTTTTTGGAACATGTTGTTGGCATCAAATTCAAAATGGGCAAATATTTAAAAATAAACAATCAAATATCTCAGTTTTAACATCTTATTTGTTGTCTTTGTAGTAGTTTCCTTTTAAAATATGGTTTAAAAGATTTGCACATCATTGCATTATATTTTTATTTACATTCTGCATGGCGCCCCAACTTTTTTGGAAATGAGGTTGTAGTATGTTACATCTTATTTTAACTTATGTTAACTTACCTTAGAGAGAGCCTTTGCAAGGCTGCTGTTCTCATCCTCTAGAACGTCTTTCTGTAGTGTGAGCTGACTCAGGGCCTCCTTTACTGTAACCAGCTCTTTACGCACATCTGAGTGTTTGGCCTCCAGTTGTTCAATAGTCCTGTGTCTACAGAAAACACACACACACACACACATCCATCAGCACATGACTGCATGCTCAGTAATACAATACAGCCCAAAATGTTGAAGTGCAGCCAGAGCCAACCCGCATGTAAATGTAGGCAAACAAACACAAACATGGACAAACATCCACACACACACACACACTCACATCCACTTCCGCACCCAGAGATACACAAGAAAGAGGGGTTGCTGTAAACACAGCATGAGTGCCTATTGCTTCCTCTAGTCAGAAAGGCAACAGCGTGGAGAGCAAAGTTCAGATCTCCTTCATAAACATTTTGACGGTTTTCTACAGAGCATTTACCCCACAGATCCCCCTGAACTGTGTCACTGACACCGGAAACCACAAAAGTCACAAAACACTATGTTAAGGTCATTACCCCAGGACTAGTAAAATAAAGTTATCTCCATGTTCAATGGCTTCTGTAAACAACGCTATCTTGGCTAAATGTGAGGCTTCTTTGAGGACAACATGTGTTTGTGATATTGACTGTTGTTTTATTGTAAACAAAAAAAAGATGGAAAAACAAACAGAGGCCAGAGGGGAGGTTGAAGTGGGGGTTAGTTCAGGTTGCGCAACAGCATACCCCTTCTCGGCCTCGGAGCGCTCCCGAGCCAGCTGCCGCTCTAAGTCCTCCCTCTGCTGCCGGAGGAGGTCCCTCTGCCTCTGGATGTCCAGAGAGGAGCTGCGCAGACGCTCCAACTCTGCATGCTCATGGTCCAGCTGGTGTTGCAGGGCAGAAAGCTGTTTTTTCAGCTCATCTTTCTCACTGGAGCAAGAAAGAGACAGGAGGTGTCGGAGACACATGAATGGACAGTTCATAATCATGGTGCATTCAGACAATTCATACCACCATCCATGAATGGCAGAGTACAGCTCTATTCCGAATTGATAGGTTTAACATAGGGAGGTGGGGTAATGTAATTTTACCACAGGATATCTGTAATGTTGATGACCAATTCGCACAACTCACACCGATAAAAAAACAGGGATTGGAGCGACTACTTGATTTATACACTGCCTTTGCTTCAGAAACAAGTAGAAAACATCAAATCATTTAGCCATTATTCCGTTTACCCAAACCATCTGTTGTTCTGTCTTAAGTGATAACACTGTGTCATTACCATCACCATTAGCTTGGGAAGTCATAGCCAACAGTCAACCGCTTAAATCACTGCATAAAATTAGAAGTTTTTTTAATTTTACATTTTAATATTGTGAGTTGCACACTTGAGGAGGACAGTACATATCAACTTCATTTTAGCCTAGGAGAACACAAATAAGTGCTTCTTAGACTGCTTCCATGATTAAGAAACTCCTTTCCACAGAAAATGATAGTGCTGTAGTGACATGTCCATTCACAGTGGATGAATATATAACCTGGGGTTATTTCTGCGGTTGGTTTTGTAGAAGGTAAAAAGCACCAGAATCTTTACTGATGCAGGAGTGCACAGTCCATAAAATGACTGACATGGCACATTCAGATGGGGCTAAAGTCGCTAAGAAACTGACTCACTAAATAGGGCTAAATATGGCAGAGACTTTTACTTTTCCAAAGTAAGACTTTCTACTATTCCAAATAACCCAAAGTTATATTAATCTCACGTAAAAATGCAATCATATACTGCGGAAAAGGAGGCTTTACATCTCTGTAATTTATACTAAGATTTGTTATCCCATGCAAATTGGTCATAAAATTAAAGAAATCCTGTCGTAAAACTGCATTACCCCACCTTCCTAAAAAAACTAATCCCATCTGAATAGTACTGAAATCGTAAATACATCCATGTTAATTAATTGTTATATGCAGTATAACTGGTCAGTACATTCTCTTATGTGTAAACCATTTTGTTATGATTTGTTGACATAACAATTTTCAGACTTTGCACGAGGACCGTCCAAACACACATCAGGTCACAGGGAAATGCAACAAAAACTGTACATTTATGACTGGTGGGGACAGAAATGGGACAGTGCTAAATTACATGCTAATTGTTTTAGGACTGAGGTTGCCTTTGCAAAATCTTTACCAGGTGATAATTCTAAAAAAAAAAATAGCAATTGACACATCAATATACCATTCTAATTCACATTAAAATAGTGTTTGGTGACCTAAACTCACTAAAGAAAAAAGAATGTGACAAACTGTGTTTCTCTGAAGCCTTACAGTCACTAGCATTGGCTTAATCTGCAAGTGTTACCAAAGAAAGAGGAAAAGCTTCCAGCAGAAGACAAAGAAAGCTTGAACTGAAATAAACAAACATTGCTTTCCACTGGCCAGTAAAAGTGTTATTGCACTCTTTAGAAGTTCTAGAACTTTTGCTGTTTTGTAAGACCCATGATTTGTCCTAATTAATGCTTTTTTCGTTATTTATATTTTAGCCTGTTATTCTCCCCTGCCCCCCATTCCTCCCGCACAGATTACCCCTGGAATGGATGACTGAGTGAACTGCTATGTGCAAGGCTTTAGTGGTTACAAGACCAGCTGAGAGTGTGGAGCTGAGGCTATTGTCAGATGATAAGTCTCAAGAGAGGTACAGACTGTGTCAACTCCCCTGCAGAAACTCTCTTAAAGCCAGTAAATCTGCTGTGTCCTTCAAAACAAGTCAAAGCAAGTTACAACTGATTGTTAACATGCCTCTCATTCATTTTTATGACCATTTGTAATTTGTAAGGAAGTGTAGTCCTGTTAGCAGACATCTAGATTACAGTGTACCTGGTGATGATGCCCAGCGAGGTACGGTATCTCTGGGCATCTCTGCTGCTCTCCTCCTCGGCCTTCTCGGCACAATGGTGCTTCTGCTGCAGTTGCTGTATCCTCTGTTCCAGCTGCTTGCGTTCGGCCTCTTCTTCCTGCAGCTGATCCCGCAGTGTGGTAGCCTGCTCCAGCGTGGCCTCCAGGCGCACTTGTAACCCCTGCAGTGGAGGGACCGCAATCAATATCTCAATGGAATCAAATCTATTCCATTTAGTCCCATGTTAATCAGAAGCCATAACCAGAGGTCCATGATTGGAGTTGTATGTTGCTGCTACACCTTGCCAAAAATGTCAGCTGTTTCAGGCCAATATGTTTCATATCAGGGTGCTCATTAAGCCTACAAAGTATAAGCACCAAGAGTAAAACACAAAATCTTATTGTCTTTGTTGCCTGTTGTTTTCACACAAATAAACTTCAAGCATCTGCCAATCAAATATCTGTCAATTTGGCTGTAACTGAAGTTATAATCAAACACAGTTTTTTTTTTTTTTGTCTTAAAAAATTAATGCAAAAATCATTAGCTTGATGCCCACTTAGGTCAAACCCTCACCGTCCTCTCTATTAGAAACACTTGTACACCTACTCAGTCATGCAATTATCCAATCAGCATCATGTGGCAGCAGTGCAATGCATAAAATCATGCAGACAGGGGTTAAGAGCTTTAGTTAATGTTCACATCAAATGACAGAATGGGGAAAAATGTGAATTGAATGAGTTTGACCATAGAATGGCTAATAGTGGTTTGAGTGTTTCAAAAACTGCTGATCTGCTGTGATTCTCACACACAACAATCTCTAGAGCTTATAAAAAGTGAGCAGCAGTTCTGTGGGAGGAAATTCCTTAAGAGGATGTTGTTGACAGAAGTCTGAGGTGAATGGCTTGAATTGAATGTTTTTTGAGCTGTTAGGAAGAATATGGTAACTCAAATAATCATTCTTTACAACAGTGGAGATCAGAAAAGCATCACGACATCAGGAAAGTACCATAAGGATCAGAAAAGTATCATGTTGAGCCATGAGGTGGATGAGCTACAACAGCAGAAGATCACATTGGGTTCCACTCCTGTCAGCCAAGAATGGGAATCTGAGGCTGGTGCTCCATGCCCCACATTTACTTATATACTTAGAACTTTTGTCAAAAAAATGGTTGTATAGTGTAATTGACAGCTAAAAGAAATTCACAAAGAATATGTCTGTGACAAGTCTTGCTGACCTGAATTTGTGCCTGTCGCTGGGACAGAGCCCTTCGTACAACTAGCAGAATGCTATCACGCTGAGGAGATGAAAGACTGAGAGAGGAGGCAGGAAGAACTGGAGAGGGCAGCTCTTCAGCTGGGCTGTCTGAGCTGCTACTGCCCCCATCTTCATGGACAGCCTGTGAAGTATATCAGAGAGAAAGAGGCAGATTGACTATGATTAAATAAGGAGACTTTTAAATTATCTCTCTGTCAACCCAACATGCTCATCCAGATATTTCTGGATGTCCAGTTCACCTTCAAAACTTAAAGGTCCGCAGACACATTACTGCTCATGTCTGAAGCACTAACTAACTGACCCATGATCAGGAGGAGAAGTCAAGCCCCTCTGTCAGAGCTTGGTTGACATATTACAAAAACGTGTTGGCACTTGCTGATATTAAATTTAAAATATTTGAATTACAGATGCTTTTAACGATATACACATTTATTTTGTTTCCTGTGTTGTCCATCATTGTGTTCAATCAAAATCATGAAGTCATTAATGACGTAAGTGTGAAATAGTGCAACCCCAACTTAGCCCTCTAATCACTGCTTAGCAACCATGGTGATCCATCATTAAGCCTTTTAATCTCAGTTCTTGAGAAGTGTGCAGCATTTCCGTTAATATGTTTTGAATTTCAAGCTCCAAATATGTCAATAGATGTTCCTGGGAGACCTGTGAAAACAAGGCCTGATACCCTGACAAAGTAGTGTGCATTTTCTACCCATTTCGTCAGTGCGATACTTAAAATGTTCTTTTTTAAACAGCTCTAAATATGTCAAAGCTTCTGCATATCAAACCTTGAAAGGTAAGATATAAATAATCCATAAACATTTTTCATGGCCGCTGCAGGGCAATCTATAGCTTAGGATATTTGACATTTTAGGTTTTCAAATTTGTTGCTGTCATCTTTCCTCAATTCTGCCACATAACTTACATCTAAGCTGTCTGATTTGAACTCAGTTATGAGGGGTTGGTTGGGTTTATGTGAAGCCTGCATTCTCATAGCTGTGCAGACAATTTTATTATTGTAACCGTTGGATTAGGTAAAATGATGACTGCACCATTGTCAGCAATCAGCTATAGCCTGTGGGAAATGCACAAAATGTATCCCGAACTGTCCCCCCATCCCCCTCCTTTCGTGGTGCCCAGCCCGCCCACGACAAATAGCCTGTCCTAAAATGTTGTTCTGGGGCTGGAGCTGCCCATGATTATGCGTGTTTGACCTGGCAGATGCTGTGAAGAATCTGCTGCAGGCTGCTAATCTCACTACATAAGGTATCCTTCTCAGCTCTGTCTTCAGCCTGACTCACTTCCTGCACAGGAAAGCAAAACAGAAACAGAGAAGGAAAGGGAGAAAGAATTAAAAGAAAACAAAACATTAATAATACAGAAGCCATAACACACTTGATAAAGCGACACACTCATTTAACAACTACTTTACAAAACAAAAATGGGAAATTCTAAAATGTAATCAAAGGAAGCATTCAGGTCAAAGAGCAGCATCTCTGGACCAGCTCTGATACACAACAGAATAGAGCAGGGCCTCCAGACAACAGACAGAGGAGCCTATGGAGTTCATCAAGAACATGGATTTCAAACTATAACTCCCCTCTTGAACAGTGCCCCCAAACTCATACCCCAAAGTCCCACTCACCATCCTGTCCAGACAGTTCTGCAAGGCTGCCAGAGTGCTCTCTTTCTCACTGTTCTGAGCTCTTAGATGTTTCACCATGTCTGTCAGTTCCAGGATTCTACAAACACATTCATAAATAAAACAAAATCACATACATTTTCACATACACACCCATCCAACCAGGCACATGAACAGAGTTATAGGGGTGTGAAAAGTACAGAGATATTATGGTACCTTTTTATTTTACAGTACTTACAGTAATTACCTAGTATTTAAAAGATACCTATAAAGTACTCTGTTGCATACTTTGTACATATATAGGACATATAAATACTACTAGGTATGTGCAGTACTACCTATGAAGAACTTAGTGGCTAAATATGTAGTATTTGAGTATATGAAATGCTAAATGTTGTTTGTAATTATACACTCATTACAAATGTCATGCCTCAAAACATTACATCACCTTTGATTTTAACAGCACTTATTAAAAGTTTTGGGACTGAAGACACAAATTGATCTAGTTTCGAAGGCTGAATTTTTCCCATTCTTTTGTTATATAAGTCTTCAGCTGGCCAACCATACAGGTCCTTTGTTGTATTTTGAACTTAAAAAGACACCTATTTTCAGTGGCAGACAGGTCTTCACTGCAGGCAGGCCAGTCTGGCACTCGCACTCTGTGATTATGCAGCCAGCACCTGCAGAATGTGGCTTGGTGTCAAGTTGAAATAAGAATGGGTGTCCCTGAAAAGGACAGCATCTAAAAGGCAGCATGTGTTGCACCAAATTGTGTTTAGTGTTAATGGTCCAAAGTCCACACCTCAACATTACTAAATGTGTTTTTGGGATTATTTGAATCACAAGATGCAGAAAATGCAACCAACTGTTAATACTGAATTTTGGCGGTGTGGATAAACATCCCAGCAGATTTCTTTGAAAGACTGGAAACTGTAATCAAGGCAAATGGTGGACACATTAAATACTGTAAAGATTGGTATTAATTTTTGTTGTTGAGGCTTCTGTGTAAATATATAAATAGCATGTACTTAACAGCCGCTTTTTTATTTTTATTTTTTTAAATAAATGACAGATCATCTCTAACATTTGCATAGTATTGTATATTAAAGTAAAAATTAAATGATCTAACAAATATGTTAAAAGCTTTGTTTGTTTGGTGGTGTGTGATACTGCAGTGTGTGGTTAATTAGTACATTGGTGGGTTTTATTTCATTCTGCATAAGATTTTTTTTTCAAATGAAATGCACAGAAAAATCTCTTGATCTTTGAGATTTGCAGAGGTCTGAATGGAAATGTAGGGAGTAAATGTACCATTTTTAACTGAGAAACAGTTCTCAAGTATTCAGTTTAAATACTGCTCAGGTAAAGTAAAAATCTTCCACAGTAATACTTAAGTATAGTTTTGAAGCACAATGCTCAAGCATTTTCCACCCCTGTGTAGTCATTGATGATAAGATGTGTATTTGCTTAGTTTAGAGAAACAGTTGGCACTTTGCACACTGAACGCATAAATACCAATGTTACAAATATAATTTAAGTTACTTCGTTCTTCTTACTTCGTTTTAAGTAAAACACTACATGTGCCGTTATCAGAGATTATTAGACAGGTATAACAAATCAAACCAGCTACTAAAGGCGCAAGCACTTCGAAGTAGTGAACCAATAACAGTAGGTATTCTCAAATCTCATGAATTTTGTCTGAGATTTAGACACATATGGTAGGCTGAATGCCTAATAACGACAAGGTGACATTTTACTGGCAAGGGTTCATGCAACGTCAAATTGATGCAGTTTTGTAATTCAAAGTCATGCAGATGGTTTCTCTGTCTGAGTGTATTAAGCAAAGGTGAAAGTATGGCACATTTATGCCTCCCCATAGAGCTCTCATCTGATCCCTATTCATCTTCAGCCTTTTCCCCCTCTGCAATTACAATCAGTGAAGGGGTCATATGTCATAGAGGAGTGTGATCTCTGCTCTCTGCTCATTGTAGAACTGTCACTGACGGAAAGATCTAAGAGAGTCGAGGTGCAATGACTAAATTCATCAAAGGGCTCAGTCAGTTCTATGGATCTGATCCCAACAGAAAACATCAAACAAGGTCACTGACATATAACATGACAGAATAATTTCAGGATGAACAGGATACTGCTCAGCTTCTCACTGAAACGAATACAGACTCGCTATCGAACTCTACCGCTTTCTCTCTTTTCCTGTCACTGGGTTGGATAGCACCTGAGGCAGTCTTCAGTGCACGAGTACTCAGAACAATGCTCAATGACTCATCTAGGATATGTTAGTGTTCAATAATTCAAGACAATGAACTTCAGCACTATGGTTTTCAGGTAACTTTGGGATACGCATGTGAAATATCTGGCACGTTATAATCCTATGAACACAACAATTCAAGTCTAAACAGCAAATTTGTATCATATCACTATGTCATTGGCTATATATCATCTAACTGAAAAATGTATGTCCATAGTGGCAAATAAATAAGATAAACGGACCTGGAGTTGAGCTCCACTTTCTCTGCATCGAAGCGGCCCTGAAGCTGCATGGCTTCCCTCAGTTTGTCTCTCAGCTGCCTCTCCAGCGCTGAGACCTCCAGGCCAGCAGGGGCACTGTGCTCACTCGTGCCAGTCTGCAGATTCATGCAGGCTGTATGCAGTCGTCGGCTAGCAGCCACACACTCTCCACGCATGTCAGCCAGACTCCTGCAGTTATGGTTATACACAGTTACATGACAGCATCAGGACAGGGCAATCCCATCTCTTTAGAGAGCAATAAATATTAAATTACATAAAGGTGTGATAAACTACAACCCCATTTCCAAAAAAGAAATCTAAAATCTAAATAAAAAAACAAAATGCAATGTAAATAATTTAAACCCTATATTTCATGGAAAATACTACAAAGACAACATATCAAATGTTGAAACTGAGAAATTATATTTATTTATTTTTTTAATATTTTGAATGTGATGCCAACAACATGTTTTAAAAAGTGGGGACTGGGGCAACAAAAGCCTTGTAAAGTTGTGTAATGCTAAAAAAAACACCTGGTGGTTGATTGGCAACAGGGCAGTAACATGATTGGGTATAAAAAAGCGTCCCAGAGAGGCTGTGTCTTTCAGGTGTAAAGATGAGGAAGGGGTTCACCACTCTGTGAAAGACTGCGCTGGCAAATAGTGCAACAATTCAAGAATAATGTTTCTCAATGTAAAAAAGCAAAGAACTTTTGCTTCTATAGTTCATAATATCATTAAAAGATTCAGAGAATCTGGAAAAATCTCTGTATGCAAGGGACAAAGCCAAAAAGCAGTATTTGTTAGCCATGATCTTTGGGCCCTCAGGCAGCACTGCATCAAAAACAGACATGATTCTGTAGATGAAATCACTGCATGGGCTCAGGAACACTTCTGAAAACTACTGTCTGTGAAAACAGTTTGTCGCTGCATTCACAAATGCAACTTAAAACTCTAAAACGCAAAGAAGAAACCATATATAAACGGGATCCAGAAACACTGCCACCTTCTCTGGGCCAGAGCTTATTTAAAATTGACTGAAGTGATATGGAAAAGTGTCCTGTGGTCTGACAAATCAAAATTTGAAATTCATTTTGGAAATCATGGACACTGTGTCCTCCAGGCTAAAGACCACTCAGCTTGCTATCAGTGCACAGTTCAAAAGCCAGTATTCATGATCGTATAGGGGTGCATTAGTGCACATGGCATGGATGATGTGCATTTCTGTGAAGGCATCATTAATGCTGAACAATAGATACATGTTTTGGCAACATATGCTGCCATCCAGACAACGTCTTTTTCAGGGAAGGCCTTGTTTATTTCAGCAAGACAATGTCAAACCACATTCTGCATGTATTATAACAGCATTGTTCTGTATTAAAAGAATTTGGGCGCTAAACTGGCCTGCCTGCAGTCCAGACCTGTCACCCACTGAAAACATTTGGTGCATTATGAAATGAAAAATACGACAAAGGAGATCCCGAACTGTTGAGCAGTTGAAATCCTATATCAAACAAGAATAGAAAACATTTCACTTTCAAAACTACAGCAATTGGTCTCCTCAGTTCCCAAACGCTTACAGAGTGCGGGTAAAAGTAGAGGTGATGAAACACAGCGGTAAACATGCCCTTGTCCCAACTTCTTTGAAACGTGTTGTTGGCATCAAATTCTAAATGGTCATATATTTTTCAAAAAACAATACAATTTCTCAGTTTTAACATTTGATCTATTGTATTTGTACTATTTTCAATGAAATATAGGATTTAAATGATTTGCACATCATTGCATTTTGTTTTTATTTACCTTTTTGACAGGGTCCCAACCTTTTTGGAAATGGGGTTGTATAATCTGTTATTTTATCATGTGTTATTTCGATCTTCTACGAGTGTAGACAAGTAATGTCTTTTCACTGGCTTAGTTCCAAAGCAGGGTTAAAAAAGGATTTAATTCACAAGCCACGATATAAGCATGAAGCAGGGGCATGGCTTAAATCTGGTAGCATATTTTCATTAGGTAACATTAGCAAACTTGCTAATGCTGGTTAGGTACCAATTTTGCTAATCTTGCTAAATGTTGTAGCTAGCTGGTTTAGCTAGGTAGCTCGCTACTATTTCTAACTAGTCTCATGGTGCTAGAGGTGATATTGTAACAAGAAGATATGGGGACAACTGTGGGAAATATTAGGCTAAATATGTGTGGGAACAAACTGGGCATTAAATTTCTAAACCAAGTCAATGCTTCATAAGGCAGAGCTCAAAGTAGGGGGCGATGGTGTGCTCGCCAGCACTGTCCAACAGACAACAAGCCTGTTGTTAGCTCATGGATTTAATGTAAGCTAGCATGACTGAAAAGCCCCCCAAAAACTTCAATTTAGCATGTAGATGTGTTGTGTGTGCACAGAACAAATTACATTCCAAAAAAATAAACATTATATCTTGCAAGGGGAAAAATAGACCTGTTAGCTAACAACAGTTGTTCGCTACCTAGCTTGTTCCTTCTGCTTTAGGACCCTAACCTAACATAACCATACCTGTATTAATGTAAGAACCACTGATAGTTTGCACAACATGGAGGAAGGGAAAACATAATTCCCACAAGAACTTTGCTCCTTCCCAGAGGTTTAAATCACTGGGGTCAAAGTGAGTAAATTTAAAGCTAACAGGAGGGTTAGTAAGTTGTCCCCAGATGTGTATTCTTGTTACGCGATCACGTTTGGTCCTGCAAGACTAATTTGTACCATACTGTTGATAACCAATATTAATGCTAGCCTATCTACTTTTAGGTTTGTTCACAGGCAGTGCCTTTCCCTGGTTGACCTGCTCATGATTACATCACAACAACCAATGGCCGTTAACTAAGAAGGAAAGCAGGGAAGGGAGGCATTTCAAAAGGTCATTGCCACTGCCATCTTTAAGTACCTAAAGACTAAAAACTCTTAGGTTCAGCACATTCTCAAGAAATCATGTTTGTAGCTGAGGAGAGCCAGATGGTTGAAGCTATTAGGCTCCATATCGTGACCAGGGACCAAGCTCTTTGAACACTGTCGTGTCTGAATAAAGGCCTTGAACATTCTCGACCATGTGTTGAGTAATCCGCATTATGGCAAATTACTCAACAATGATCACAGCGTTTACACACAATGCAAGCCAAGTCCTCATCTAGCTCCACTCTGATGGATGGCCGAGCGCTGGCCCAAGGGGCGCTCCAACCATCACTTCTCCCAGGAGGACCCAGCGAGGACGGGAGGCGGGAGACCCCGGCGACCTGCTCGGCTTTGATCACAGGCCAAGCTGGGGGGGTGTCTAGGAAGCAGGGATGGGGCCTGAACCACAGTGACAGGCTATTTCTGGCAGCATGCCACACTTACCTGTCAGCAAAGGCCCTGAGCTGGGTAAAGGTGCTGCGCAGTGAAGCGGCCTGGCGCCAAAGGGCTCTGACACGAGCCTGCTCATGGCCAAGCCTAGAGGCATTCATCTGGGGGAGATAAACAGGGAATCATGAGTGGGGGTGAGGGCTTGGTGGAATGAAAGGGTGGATAGGTTTGTTGGGCGATCATCATATGGTCAGCAGATTTAGTACTGGAAGTCATGATGGGGCCAGCAATAGATTATATTTAAGCTGCTGCGCCACCTCCCATACTAATATTCTGTGATATTCATATGGACTCGTATAAATTAATAAATGCACAAGCACATACTTGCATATGCTAACACATGCTCACATGTAAAAGCTGAGGCATTCATTCTCTCTTTCTCTGTTCCTTCCTTGTTCTCTTATAGACCCATGCACACACCCACCCACTCAAAAGCACACACACGTGTACAGTAAAATACACTTTTCCTGACTGTACGTGGCTGAATGCAACAAGGACTACTTAATCTTGCCAGATGTTTGCTCACTGCAATGAATTCTCTCTCTCTCTTGCTCTCTCTCTTTTTTTTCCAAACGACTGGAATGTTTTCACAGGAAACAACAGCTGAGAAAATCACAACAATGATTTAAAACAAAGACAGTGTCCAGACTGACAAAACAGGGACCAGGGTAGAATTCCACAAGTTCCAGAGTTGAGTTTCATTGGGTTGGATTGAGGAAAGATTTTCCTTGAACTGTGGATTTGGATAAAAACATACAGAGCAGATTTCTCCTTCCTCTCTCTCTCCCCCTCTCTCTCACCTCCTGTTCCCTCCTCAGTCGCGTGTCTCTCTGCTCTGCCTCCTCCTGGGCCTTGTGGAGGCTCTCTGCAAGAGCCTGGTTGGCTTCGTTGGCCTGCTCCAGTTGTTCTCGGAGCAGCGCGTTGACCTTGCTCAGGCCGGAGCACCTGCGGAACACATGGAGCCATTTCAGAACTTCTGCCAGGTTGGCACCTTCACCTGTTAAAGCCGTACCCAAACGCTTTTTTGGGATCGCTCCAGCAAACCCAGTCCTGCTACACCCCCACCCCTCAATATCACTCCTACATTTATAAGCTCGTAAAGGCCTGCCTCACATCTAGCTGTGCCAGCCACGCTTACGGAGGGGAACGAGCGTGACAGTTTTACAAAGTCCATGTCAACTCTGGCCTAATTGCCAGCAGATTTGCTCGTCAAGTCATTTACAACAATGTTTACATCATCCGTGGCAGTCGACGCCCAGTTCCGAACAGCGGCCGGCGCCAGTGAAGTAGCATGTAAGAGAAGAAGAGAATGAATAGTGTGTGTGTCAAAAAGAGAGGGAGAGAGAGAGAGAGAAAGGACCCATGAAAATCTTCTTACAAAAAAGAGCGATAATGCAAATTGTTGCTTGCGCCTGGACTGGCTTTGCTAATCCTCAGAGATGTGCAGTAAGCCTGGCTTTGCTAAGCTTTGGAGCAGTATAATAGGACTGACTTTGCTAAGCCTCTAGGCTGTATCGTAGGGATGGCTTAGCGAAGCCTTAGGGCTGTGTAGTAGCCCTGAGTTTGCTAAGACTCAGAGCTGTATAGTAAGAATGGCTTTGCTAAGCCTTAGAGCTATGCAGTAGAACTGGCTTTCCTAAGCCTTGATGCTGTGCACTAAGACTGACTCTGCTAAGCCCCAAAGCTGTGTTGTAAGACTGGCCAGAGCTGTGCAGTATGACCGGATAGCTAACCCTCAGAGCTGTACGTTAGGACTGGCTTTGCTAAACCTTGTAGCAATGGAGTAGGACTGGCTGTGCTAAGCCTGGGAGCTGTGCAGCAGGCCCTGACAATGGTTCTGCAAGCAAGGCAGTAAAAGTGGCAAGAGCCTGGCAGGCAGGCAGGCCAGCATTTGCTGTAATTGCTTCAATTAAAGGCAAGCAGCACAGTAAATCACCTCTCTTTAAAGGCTGGCACGGGGAGCTCAGGCCGGCTTTACCACGCGCTGGCAGAGGAGGACAGGGCCCCACGAACTAAGCCTGACAAATTGGATGCCCAATGTTCTTTCTCCCCTTAAGGTTTCTTGCATGTAGTATGGGAACAGGCTAGTAGAGGAATAAAAATGCTTTGGTTCTCCTTACATCCCTGCTAAACACTGCTCATGCTTTGTCTCTCAGTGAAAAAGAGAGGAAGAAAAACAGAAGACAGTTTATCAGTGAGGCTTCTCATTCTCATTTTCCTGAATTTATGACTATTCGGCTGCTCCAAACACAGACTCCCCACTCACTTTCTGGACAGTTGTTTTGAACATTTCCCTGAGACAGTTGCTCTCTCTTTCTCGTGCCCCGTTACCTCGTTTTGCCTCTCACCTTCTTTCTAAATGTCTCTCTCTCTTCTTCTGCCTCTCCCTCTGTATTTCTCTCTCTCTCTCTCTCTCTCTCTCTTTCTCTCTCTCTCTCTCTCGCTCTCTCTCTCTCTCTCTCTCTCTCTCTAACTCTCCAATATTTTAAGGCCATTTTCATACTAGAGTTTTTTCCCAACACAGAAGCGCTTGCTCTGTGAGTTTGGTACATTTGGTCAAGTGTGAAAGCTGTATTCGGGCCCAGGAACAGTCCAGTGAATTGACCTCTGGTCCTCCTGAAATCAGTGGTCCAGGATTTGCTTCCACTGAACTCTGGTCTGGTTCACTGCACATGTGAAAGCTATCCAATCCCTGTGTTGCGTGTGGGGTTGCAGGATTTGTTCCTTTTGTAACATGCTTTGACTTTTCGCATCACTTCCCTTTCCTGTTTCGTGATGGCGTGGAAAGGATTGCTGTGTATAGCCATTTGATAGTTCCCCATGTTCTCACTATTATGTATAAGTATATGCCTAATAAAACCACACCACACTTTCATAGGACTGGTGCAAGGTTACTGTAAATAATAATAATAAAAAAAAAAAGGCTGACGGATGACCATTTTGCAAACCTGCATGCAGAAAAGTGATGTCTTGAAATGCACAATTGCTCCATGGTTTGGATGGAAATCTCGTGTGTGAAAGCGAACCAGCGATAATGAGCCCCTTCCCTAAACGAGCCCAGAATTGTTCCTGGTTGCAGACTCAAGTATTTAGGACAAGTGTGAAAATGCCTTAAGTGTGCTTCTTGCTCACCTCCTCCTCTCCTCTTCCAGTTGGGCAAGTTTGCTCTGGGTATCCAGGCTGTGCTCCTGCTCTGAAAGCTGGAGCCGATGTGCAGAGGAGTCCAGGTGAGATTGCAGCTACGTCACACACACATACAAACACACATGAACAAAAAGATGAGGTCTTACAAAAGGCACCACAATACAACGGTGTTATGGCTAAAGGTGAACTGTCACTGTGGGGCTTCCATGACAAGAAAACATGGTGTCAATGGTGTCCAGTGGTGTGACTTGGGTTAGGGCTTTGTGGGGGCACTTCCTTTATGTTACTGTTTTATTCTTTGTGTTATTTCAAAAGGCAACTCATGCATAAAACTGTGTGAGAGCAGTTAGCTGGCCAGGAAAGCTTTGCTCTAACTTGGATATAACACTAACTTATTTGCCATGAAGCTTCATCAGTTTTTAACATACCTAGAGAAAAAGCTCATCTTCTTGATATTAGTACTAAACCACATTGCTTTTAGGCAGATGATTTGTTAAGCCAGCTCTTTATTGCCATACATAACAAATAAGGTTGATGTACCTTATAATCACGTGCATTGTAAAATGTAGGCCAACATTACTGAGCATTCTGAAGTGGGACAGATCTGCTTCCACCGTCATATCACACTGAACTGAAAGTTCAGGCAAAAATGTTTTATCATGACAAACCGCAGCATTCTGTGATCAGGCTGGTGGTTTTCCATCTCTTCTGTAAAGTTTTAAGTTTTTAAGGTTTTGCACAGCAGCATATTAAGCTTTTAGAGCCCAACAAAAAGCCCCCCCACTGGAACAGTACCAATCCTCTGTCTTTGTTTAATGACCTGAGAGAATTTTTTAGCTTTAGGTCCACATACTGACAGACGCAGTTTCTCCAACTCTGAAGTCTTCTCCAGTACCTGCTGCTCCAGCTCTCCACATCTCTTCTTATATTGAAGAACCTACCATATAGGAATCACATCAACTGACAGAATCATTGATAATGAACACAACTGTAAACAGCCTGTGGCTCTTTTACATCTATTACTCTGCAATCCCTCAACTACAGAGAAGTGTGGGTGGCCATAGAGCAGAAAAAGTAGAAGTGCTGCTGGACCTTGGCCTGTAGTTTGTGTACCAGCTGGGCCTGTCTATGCTGGCTGTCCTGGAAGGCCTGCAGCTTGAGCCTGTACGCCCGGTTCTCATCCCGCAGCCTCTGCTGCTCACCGCCATACACACTCTCCTGATCTGAGTCTCCAGACTGTCCTGCCAGCATCTGTTCTAGCTGCAAGGACACACACATAGACAAACAGACATACACACACACATATGGTTATATACATACATGTTTGCACACAGGTGCATTCACACACTGATATGGGTAAGTAAAAAAGGTGTGGGTAGTCTCATGGAGGCCAGACATGATCCTGAAACTGGAATACATGTCTGGGGACAACTTGTTCAGCTTTTGGTCCTGAATTGCGGTACTAACAAGGGTACACTCTGTAATTGATTGTCTACCTGAGCGGTTTTGCTCTGTATATGATAGCATTATTAGCCTGTATTGGCACTACAATAGGGTCAATCTCAAATGACTCCCTACTCCCCATGTAGTGTGCACTACAAAGGCTGTGAAACAGTTTCTACTCATAAATAGTGTGGCACAATAAAAAGATACACAAAAAAGCATACAGATCTCGCAGCATCGTAAAACACAATGCTGTGTACGGATACGTGACAGTGTAGCAGCGCATATGTGGTGCAAATCAGGCAGAGTAGCAGATTGGATAGACACACCCCCTCTAAAACCTGCCCCAAATTCCTTTAGTCTGTGCCCTTTAAATGTCTGGAGTAATCAATAACTCAAGCAAAACAAGCCAGCTAGTGAAACACTATCACTAGATAATCAAACTGTTCTTCCAATTATAAGAGGTAACATTTATTTAGTATGTAATGTGTTGCACTCGTGACTCACATCTACATGCTTCACTGGAGAATTCTGGGGACTTTTCAGGCATGCTAACTTATGTTACATCCATGGGCTAACGACAGGCTTGGTGTCCCGTCGGTCAGTGATGATGAGCATGCTATTGTCCCCTAATTTGATACCTTCTGGTTTCATGAGGAGTTGGAAGAGTTTCTTCCCACCCAAATAAGTCTACATTGCCACCCACATTTAGCCTAGAATTGCTCATGGCTGTCCCCATACATTCTGATTATGAGGTCATGTCAGCCCCCATGAGCCCAAGGTGTGGGAACAAAAACACATGAACAAATAGAAAGACACACATGCATATGTATGTATATAAACAGAGAAAGCAACACAAATCTCAGAATTTGTCCTGATGTGGCATGATGGACCACATGATTGACAAAGGATACATTTTAAACATCTCAGAATATAAAAAGAACATTCATTAATCCCTTAAACTGCTGGCTTATTATTATTCAGTACATACTATAAATCATTGGAGAACTAATATGACGATAATATATAATGTACACACATTATAAATTATGACAGTGAGGTATTGACTGCAAAAGTCCCACCTCCTTTAATTACTGTTGGTATTGCTGCTTTCAAGTCGTGTTGGAAATACGGTAGTTACAAGATGAGTGCACATGAATGCCACCACACTGTCAAAATGTCCCACCACAACAGTGGGAAGCCAGATTCTTCAATGAGCCCCGGGTTTCTGAGTTTGGGTTGTGTTGACAAAAAAGCAGTGACAACTGCTGATAAACTGATTATATTTCAGTTATTAAGCAGTCACACATTAACACTGCAGGTTAAAATCAAAATCAGATGCGAAAATACAAAACAAGCACATCATGTGATGCTTCTAATTGGATGAAAACATTATTCATGTCATATGCATCCTCTGCTCTTCATTTTGATGCAGTAAAGCAAAATACAAGGACTCTCTTGAATGACATTAAAAACAAAAGTAAACTAAAAACATTATTTCCAGCGCATCTATTTTGTTTCCAACCCAAACCACTTGCACACAAATCAAGCCTTACTTACGACCTCTGAAGTCTTAAGCAGGAACTTCTGACTAGGACTTGAAGGCAGCATATGTCCCTCAAACTTTCAGCTCAGGCCACCAGGTAGCATCTATTGCACTTGTGCCAATAGACCGAAATATTCAGTAGCACAAATTAGAATTTAGAAACACAAAGAGGAGTATATCTGAATCAAAGTGCTTAAAAATAAATTGCCTTTACTTTGGATATTCCATTCAAACATAAATGGTGGAGAATACAAATGGACCAAGGAAATATTTTAGCTACTGCATGTTGAAGTGGTAGTGATATTCAGGTCTACATTTAAAAAACAAGTCTACTCCTTCAGATGAGCCAACACTAAGCTAACACTGGAACCAGTTGGTGCAACTTTATATGCTGAGGAGGAGTCAATGACTTGTACAATAGATATTTTAGCAATTATCAATAAATGTAAAGCAATGCCCCAAGATTCCTTTGAGAAAAGCTAAGTGATCTTAACATCAATTTGTCTTGTAATGTTATTTATTCATATTAAAATGAGTGTCAGCACATAAATTAACCCAGATAAAGTGTGTGGATTTCCATAGAGCAAACAGGTATGGCTGTTATACGTTTTGACACTAAACTGTCAGCAAGGTTATACAAATACAATTATCAGCACATAGCAGCAATGCTTGTTGGATAAACTCTATAGAGGTCCTCAATTAATGGCTTCTTAACAAAGTTCCTGCTAAAGCCTGAGTAGACTGACAAACCAATGTGATTAATCAGTTATTGATTTCAGCATCACTGAGCTCTTTTGAGGGACAACCAAACTAATAATCTCTTTAGTAGTGGACATGTTTGTGAGTGATAAGCTAACCCAATACGTTTTGTCCTGTGAATATTCTTCTCTTGAATATTCCTGGATCCTCTGAATTACAAGGTCATTAAATAGTCGAAAAGTTAATATTGCTACATGTAAGCTAATGCTACTGCGCACTGAATTGTCGTCATTAGACTGGCAGCCTCCTTAAGCGCGCTTTGCCAGCGTGGTAGCGTATTTCCATGTTCGACCGAGGGCAGATGAAAAGAAGTCAGAACAAAAGAAGCAGGTTTCCCTGCACATATATGTTCTTCATCTGATTCTCACTGAAACACAATAGATCTTTCTGTTCTGTACATATCTTGATTTGAAAAGCTCTACAAACTCAGTCTAATTCAGTATAGACTCTTAATATTACTGCTGACCCCCTGATAAACTGATTTAGGCTCTCAAAATATCCTAATTATTATTTTAATGCTTGTAACATTTTCTGAGAACATTTTCTCAGGACATTCACCAGCTTCTTGTTTGGCGTTTCCCGTTCTACCTTAAATGGTGCAGGAGTTCAGAAGGTAACTGCTGCACCATTTAAGGTGGAACAAGAAAATTCGAACAAGCAGCTGGCAAAAAAGAAGCTGACTTCAGCTTCATGGAGTGTTAAAAGGCATGATATGAGGTGGTTTCTCTATTTCCATTTGACAGCTAAGTAACATTGATTTATTTTTGCTGTTTCACAGAACCAGCAGGTCAGTATTGTTTTGTCCCATTTGTTAATGTTTATCCAATCACAACAACAGCACCATTTAAGGAGGAATGGGAAGAAGCTGGCAAAAAGAAGCTAAAGTCAGCCTCTTAGTTTTAACACTGGTAGTATTTCTAATAAGGAGTTTTAGCCTATCAAAATGTCCAACCTAGAGGTTCTATTTACAGGTATACCTGTAAATATGTGCTACGGTAGAACATTTCGATAAGATAACACAACTCATCAGAAAAAAAAAAAACATTTGAAATCATGGACATTGGTCATGGTGCATATCTGTTGGTTTATTTCAGTGCTAAAGCACTGGAGAGAGGAGAGAGCGTGGAGAGAAGCACTGCCGAGCAAATATCCCTTCTTGGGTCTTCAATCTAAAAGTCCTTTAACCTCCCCAACCCTAAAGCCCCTCCACCCCTCATATCCCCCTCATCCCATAGCCTGGTGCCAGACACCCAGTCCCCACTAACAGAAACCACATGTTTCCCCAAACACATCAACAAGCTGGCCCAGCTGGCTAAAACAAAGTGAGAGTGAGTGAGAGTGAGAGAGAGAGAGAGAGAGAGAGAGAGAGAGACCCCTCTATCCTTACATTACACATACATACACACAAATCTAACATCATCCAAAATCACAGACCGACAACAACCCCACCCCCCCACAACTGCCCCCCAAACACATACATACACACACACACTGAGCCTCATCTCGATGCTGTTAAGCTGCGCAGCAGTCTCAGTAAGGGGCTGGGACAATAGTCCCACTGTTCATGCCTGGAGCCAAGGGCTTCCCGAACCTTAATAAAACATTTTTTAAACAGGCGTTCTGAGGGCTTTTATTCCATATACTACAAAGAAGGGAGAACTTGCACCCGGCTTTGGGCGGTTTTGGGGTTCAGGGCTCACAAGGGAACAGGGGCCTGTTTTACAGTCCGTTGTTAAGGTGACAGCTTTTTGGGAGCAAGCAGGGAGCGAAAAACATGGGCGGAGGACAAGAGAGAGAGAAAGAGAGAGAGAGAGAGAGAGAGAAACAGCTGTGTTTAAAAGCTCCTCTGGAAACAGCTGTGTGCAACACTATCGATTATGTGTCTTTGCAACTATTTTGGCGTAATTATTGGCAATTTGTTGCTGCAGCCCACAGAAAGGCGACTGGGTTTGTTTGATTCAAAAACATAAAATAAATGGCATCACACACACACATGCTCAGCACTTTTATTATGCTGTTTTAAAGCTGCATGGGGTCACTGCTTCTATACAGGACTGATCCAAGCAGGCTTTAAGCATCGGCAAAGCATAAAATGGGTTTGTATTAGCACGTCTTCGCAAGGACGTTTTTAAGGGCCATGCAAAACCATTACGGTAATGCAGTCAAATCTTGTAGCTCAGCACTGGGACTGTAGCCATTCTTTATGTAAGGGTGAAAATTAGGGCTGGCTATAATTCAAATGTTTCAGTACAATACCAATACAATACCACTGTACATCACTTCTTTTGATACCTTGTGGCCTGAGTCAGAAATGAGCACGAGGTGCGGGAAGTGGGTACATTTACAGACCGCAATAGACGGTAGATTAATCAAGAAGCACTGAAATTAATAACAAGCTCTTAGAATATAACTCAGCAGTGTAGAGTTTGAAACAAGCTTCTTAGCTCACTGATGCTTACATGTGTAATTATTGAAAACACAATTATTGATTTAGTAATAAATCACTTTTTTT